GCAGGCAGAAGTTTAGAGAATTTTTCTCCAGAGAAACTTACCTCTCCGTCCAAGGGAAAAGACTCACCTATTTTGATACTTGGAGATCTCCTTGAGCACAAGTGGTAATTTTACAAACTTCTTTGAAAAAACACCCACAATAAGAAATCCCCATTTTATGGGATTGACTCAGTACTTAATGTGTATATATGATATGTACATATATAAAACCAAAGTTTCACAAAATAATTTTCTTTTTATATGTATTCTGATATATTTTCTATTCTATTCTGTCATTTGGGGCGGGTGGGAGGAAGGTTGGTTGCAATTGACTACATTTATTTCACAGACCACTAATGGATTTGCAACCAGAATTTTGAAATATACTGCAGGGTGTCCTAGTTACAAGCCCTGTTATGTAAACAGAGCTTCCAATCAGCTCTCCTTCTTAGGCCACACTCTTACATATGAGTGGATAGCCAAGGATCTCCAGACATTTAAGAAAAGTTTCTAACACAAAAGACAGAAACAAAGACTTGAAAGACTCAATGCAGACAATTCAAGAAATACAACATCAGAAATATTCACAGAGAAATAAGATATTGCATCCCCAGATGGAACAGAATGCTATTTAACGGGTGGGGGGAAGGGTGGATAAGAAAATACTCTAGGAAATGGAAGACAGGATAGTTAAAATGTAAAAATTCAGAAAAAATTCAGAAGAAGATTTGGAATATGGAAATCTTTCAGAAAAAAAGTAGAAAAGAGAATAAATGATCAATTTTCCTAGGACAAAAACTGCAGCAGGCTTAGAGGACAGCTAGCCCAGCATGAAGGACGATGACAGACTCCTGGAGGGTTGTCTTCAGTTTAAAAACAGAAACTAATAGGCTACCTGATGTGTTTGAATATACTGAGAGGAGAGTTTTGGATAAATTAATTATAGATAGTTGAGTGCTAGCCACTTAAGAAAGCATGGAAAAAGAGGCAATGGCTAATTTCAGTCAGAAAACCAATATGGTAATATTATGCTTGTGGAACCAACTATGAATAATATATACAGACATAATAATATAATGAGGTTATTTACCTAAGGTGATATAGATACACTGAAGGATAGAGAAATAATATATGTGTTTATGAGAGGGCATTAGAGTATATATGCATAGTCTCTTTCCTATAGGAAGAAGTAAAATAATAGACCAAACTGAAAAATCAAGAACTAGTTATAAGCATGTTATTAATATGGAGATATATCCCAGAAGAGATAGCTAAAAGATAGAAAAATTAAAATATACTATATTAGTAAAAATAAATACAAATAATATGTTTCATGTATTTGAAAATCTTAATGATTAGAGAGGAGGGACTGTTTTCCTTAAGTGTTCCCTTAGGACACTGGGAAACCAACAATACTGATTTAGCACTACTCTGAAGGAAACTTTTAAAATTCTCCCTGCTTTGGTACCAAACCTTGTGTTGCTTTGTTATTTTAGGGACTCCAATAACTTATCAGCAATAGGGGCACCAGCATCTCTAGGAACAAACAATATTCTGGCCCTATACATTGTTATCAAGGTGGGGACCAGCAAGTAATGTTGCATGGCACATGTACATGGCTTTACAGGAAGTGGAGGACAGAAAATCTCACTAAAGGTCAGGTAGGAGGAAGCATCCTGGCTAGGCACATGGTAAAGGAGAAGGCTCATATAAGATGTTCCTGGGTATGTTCAGAAATAGCTGAAAGAAACTGTGTGTGTGTGTGTGTGTGTGTGTGTGTGTGTGTGTGTGTGTCCTCCCATAACCACTAGAGGCACAATCCAAGGAAACCATCATCACTGATGCTGTGCATGCCTCCATTTGTTCTGGACTGGCATGGCCTGGGAACGTGTTGAGTAGATCAGGTAGGGTGGAAAAAAGAAGGGGACATCCAAAAAGCTGTTTGATCACTGGAGGGGAAAGGGGATGAGGGGGCTGCAGACAGAGCTGCTAAAACCATGGTCCCACATACATGGAACTGTTGTCCCTTCTGCTTCCTAACCTTCTGACTTCCACACTTAAATCCCCCACCAGGGAATTTTTCAGGCCTCACAAAGAAGTGAGAGGGCCCAGTCCAGGTGGGAAGGTGCCCCTGGACCTGTGTCACTCCTTAAAAAAGAATGAAGTAGGAAAACTTAAGTCACAGGGAAGCAAGGAAAAGGGAGGTGAAGAGTGGGTACTAAGGGAAAAGATGGGTGCTAAGTCCACTTCGCCTGTAAAAAGAACACTGATGTGGCCTATAGGTCAAGAAGACCCTAGGTCAGAAATCTCTCCTCTCCTGCCTACTATGGTGCCTTAGATCCCATCCATAGTTCTTTGGGCTCAGCATCACTTTCTCATGGTCAGAAAGGAACCATGTAAGGACTGGTTCTTTGACAAGACCCTATGAGCCCCTCCCATTCACCTTTTCCCTTCTCTGGGTCCCCACAAATATTGTTTTTTACAATATACCAGTTTCGGGGCGCCTGGGTGGCTCAGTCATTAAGCATCTGCCTTTGGCTCAGGTCGTGGTCCCAGGGTCCTGGGATCGAGCCCCGAATCAGGCTCCCTGCTCAGCAAGAAGCCTGCTTCTCCCTCTCCCACTCCCCCTGCTTGTGTTCCCTCTCCCGCTGTGTCTCTCTCTGTCAAATAACTAAAATCTTAAAAAAAAACACACACAAAAAAACCCCCAAATCCAATATCCGAGGTTCCAGGCACAAAGATAATAGGCAAGGCCCCTGCCCTCAAAAAGCTCACCATATTTGATTGGAAGCTGGGAATATAGAGGCAGATATGAAAACATAATTTTACTATAGTAGGGTTAAGTTATAAAATATTTGCACAAATACAGAAGGGAGTGCATTTAAGTCAGGTAAGTCTTTCTAGCTTGGAAGACCCCTGACCTAAGGGGAAAGTGTTATTTAGGTGTGAGCAGGGCAGAACGAGAGGAACTAACCTCTTTACTTCCCTTTTTTTTTTTAAACCTCTTTATTTCTATTGTATCACCTAAAATTACTTTCATTTTTTTGGTGGACATATACCTCCCCCAAACCCTTGGCTCTGGCTGTGCAGCAGGCTTAGACACCCTTCTCCTTACCCAAGCCTGAGTCTTCATTCAGTCTCCAGCCAGGCAACCATCTTACAGTCACACTCCCCTCATGGTAGCCATATTCTATATTCTAGGACAGCGATGCCTAACATAAATACTACCTTCTCTGTTAGCCACATTTAAGAAGTAAAAACAAACAAATGAAATTATTTTAATAATATATTTTATTTAATCCAATGTATCTGAAATATTTCAACCTTAAAATAAAAATATTGAGATATTTTAGGGGTATTTTTTTGTACTAGGTCTTTGAAATCCAGTGTATATTTTACACTTTCTCAATTCGGACTAGCCACATTTCAAGTGCTCAGTTACCACATGTGTCTAGTGGCTACTGTATTGGACAGTGTAACTCTAAAATTCTGCTTCCATGAGTATACTTGGTAATTCTCCATTAAACAGATAAGGCCCATCAGACAGAGGCATTACTATATATTTACTTTAAGCCTCTGTACTCCCAGTCAAGGCCCTGAGAACAATTCTGAAGAAGAAAAGGCCTATGAGGTTTTAGCCAGAGCGAGCACTCCCTTTAAATGTCAGACCTGGACAATTAACCCTAAATTGATCCCAAACTTGCTTTTAGCAATCACAGATCCACAGTGCCTCACAGACACATTTAACTCCAAGGGTCTCCAGGTTGTTCTCTGGCCAGCAGAACATCCACAACAAAGACTTGTTATCTCACTAATGTGACAGTACCTTCACAGGGCAGCCTGGAGGGCCTTTGATGAAAGGGCATCCGTCCTACCCTCTGGTTCTGGTTGGGACTAGGCACCACTTGCCACTTGGGATTGAAAGGGGCTAAATATATTTGGCACAATATCAGAAACCCCGTGTTAGATTCTGGCATCAACAATAATCACGTGGGAGGGGCACCAGACTGGCTCAGTCGTAGAGCACCGGACTCTAGATCTCAGGATCCTGAGTTCCAGCCCTATGCTGGATACGGAGCCTACATAAACTAAAAAATTTTTAAAAAGGTAAAGGAAAAAGTCACACGGGAGAAAAATATTAAAATCTAATTAAAACACTTCTGCAAACTAGGAAACGAAAGAAACATGGGTATTCCATGGGAGAATTTGAAATCCACAGATAAGAATTCAATCTCCTCAAAGTGAACCAAGAACCAGAGGCCCATAAAAGGTGTTTTGCCCAAGGTCATCCAGCAAATCTGTAGGGGTGGTGATGAGCTCTGTATCCTTTCCACTACCCCGCTCCACAATATCTTCACTCACTGAAAAATATTTTAATTGGAGACACTGTGCCATCTCCAGGGTTTTCCTAAATTACCTGCAGAGGATGACCCGCACCAGGAAGACCGGTCAGCGCTCCCCCAACTCTGACTTAGAAGCCAGCCGCCCTGAATAGGATTGTAGCGCCGCCAATTCCCCACCTTCTGGAGTCCTGGGCGGAGGAGGCTACCAGGGCGGTTCTTTGGCCAACTCCACACCTTCCGGAGCCTGGCCTGGCCCGGCCCAGCCCAGCCGCGCCGCTGTGGCCCAGTTCCTGCGCCTGTAGGATGTGCCGCCCTCTCAAAGCGATCCCTGGGGCTTGGGCTCCCTCCAGCCTCAGGGGTCTGGCAACTAACGGCTCCGGCCTCGCAGGGGTCGCTGGAGGCTCCTGTCTGAGATCCCGGGTTTGCTGGGGGTCTCTCTGGGCGAGAGGACTTCCCAGGGCACTGGCGGTCCACAGCCCCCGCTGCTTCTGCGCCCAAGAAAGTCAGCCTCGCGCCTCAAAGCTCTGCTGGGCCGAAGCTGCCCGACCAGAGGAGCCCTCTCCGCTTTCCCCGCCGGAGTGTCCGCCGGGCAGGCGCCAGCACAGCGCAGCCTCCCGGCCCTGCGCACCGGGAACCGTTTCCGGGGCGGATGCTTTTTGTAGCTGACCCGGCGCGGCGGGTGACGCCAAGGCCCAGACGGAAGTGCGGGCGGAGGAGCCCGAGCCCGAGCCGGAGCCGGAGCCGGATCCCGAGCCTGAGCCCCAGCCGGGAGCAGGTCTCGGGGGCTCCGGGCTGTGGGAACCGCTGGGCCTGGCAGCGATGGCGACCCTGTGGGGAGGCTTCCTTCGGCTTGGCTCCTTGCTCAGCCTGTCCTGCCTGGCGCTCTCAGTGCTGCTGCTGGTGCAGCTGTCAGACGCCGCCAAGGTGAGTCCGCCCAGCCTTCGCTCCAGACAGGAGCTCCTCCCCTGCTCCGGCCTTGCGGAAACTGAGTCGGCCAACCTGCTCCCCCCCCCATTCGTCTTCTAGCCCTGCCGGCCGGACCCCTAGCTTCACAGCTCTTGCAGCACCCCCACCCAACACCCTACTACCTGACAGTCTGACAGTCACTGCCCCCACTGCCGCCCGTAGCCCTGACACTACTCCCCCTTTCCCGCCTGATACCCCGCCCCCGTCCCCAGCTCCACCCATCACAGTGCCCACAGCCTGGACAGCAACTCCTCCACCTCCTAGACATTTCCCTTCCCAGCCCCGACAGCACCCACCTCAGACTTTACAACCTTTCCAACTCTGAGAGCCTTTAACTTTCCACTCTTAAGCTCCTTAAGTCTACCGCCGCCCTCCACCTGCCTCACAGACAGCCTTCTTCCTGCCCCGACCCCATTCCCTAAACCAAAATTACGAGAAGCCTCCAGCCCACGGAAATCTTCCCGGTTAGGACCTAACTCATTTCAACTCATCCCTGAACTAGTTGCCTTGCCTCTCCTGGCAGCCTTCCTTCCCACTGGGACCTACACAGAATCTCACCAGCCTAATATCCTGACCTAACTCCCTCCAGGATCTCTTGGCCCCTTTTTTGCCGCCTTTCTTCCTGACATTTTAGTGGGGAAGGAAGGGTCCAAACTACAAGGGAGGTAAAGTTGTAGCATTCTCTCCTGCTCCACTTCTTGGTCCTTCTAGGCTCCTCATGCTACTCTTTAGTCCCCTCCATGCTCCTACCCTCCACACCTGCTCTGCCCCCGTACACACTTGTGCTTTCTCCTTGATGAGCTGGTTCCTTATTGGGGAAAACAGAAGGAATTCACATTAATATGATGGGAAAACAGAGTGAAATTGCATCTTTTAAAAATAGGAGCTTTAATCTAGAGTATCTTTAAATATAGGGGCTGGGAAAGACAGATTAAATGCAGACAGATCAGGGGGTTTTGATTGGGAGTTCTTTTTGAAATCTTTCCTACCTCCCACCAGAAATAGGGACAACAGCGAGTCTCCTGTCTTTCAAAACATTGCTGGCATCCTCTGCATATCTCCTGTCATCACTTTAAGAGTGTATTGTAATGATGTATTTATCTGTCAGTCTCCATTACTAGGGTGTGTCCTCATTACTGGCAGGAACCATGTCTTACACTTATCTGAATCCACTTCATTGAGCACAAGTTCCAACACTGAGCAAATGCTCACTGAGTGGTTGCCGAATGAATGCATTGTCAACAGCTCTGCCAGACATAGCACCATATATAGGAGCAGTGGGCCTTGTCCTCTGGGGACTAATGAGCCACTTGCCTTCTCAGATAAATTCCCCTTTGCTGATGAAGCTTTTCCTATTCCCTGTTCTCATACATTTAGTCACCTCTTTCTCCACCCCTTGAAACTTGCTTTATCAGTAGTTATCCTCTCTGTCTACCAGGGATTAGAAGCAAAGTTTCCGGGGAAGCGTAGACCAAACTGATCTCAGCTAGACTCCAGCTACTTGCCTTGCATACTTCCTTTCTAAATATAGCTGGTGTCTCTAAAATTTTCACCCCTTCTGTAGAGCTCTGGTCCAAACCCCTTTATCCATATTAGTGCCATTCTACCAAAGGGTCGAAGGATGGTGTTTAGAAGAATTGTGACTTGATTTGTGAGTAATTTTTAGTTTGATTCTTCCCCATCCTTTTGTAATTGGATTCTTGTTTGCAGGCACAGTTATCTATCTACTGTGTCTTTTTACTGGCAGGTAGATGGTGATAACATTAGCACAGTTGGACTGTCATGTGACCTATAAAGGTGATTGATAAATCACAGATCACCTACAGGTATTATTTCAAAATAATTTTATGTAATATATAATGATTCATTAGCGTTACCAAAAAGAAACTGTGACCTTTAAAAACTTTTTATCTCTCAAAACGAATAGTTTTAGAATATTTGGCAGGGGATGCTTAGCAAAATGTATATGGTGCAGTTTTTTAAAAATATTGATGCTAAACTGTTAACAAGCTATACTAAGTTTCCATTTTGGTTACAGAATTTCGAGGATGTCCGATGTAAATGTATCTGTCCTCCCTATAAAGATAATTCTGGGCATATTTATAATAAGAACATATCCCAAAAAGATTGGTAAGTATTTTAGATTACTGAATTACCTGTCAGATTTCTTTTTGTGGTTGTCACTGTTAGCCCAGAATGTTCATCCAATGTATTGTTTCCTTTTTAAATACAGTTGACTCTTGAACAATGTAGGGCTTAGGTGTGCTGACCCTGGCACAGTCAAAAGTCTGCATATAACTTTTGACTCCCCCAGAACTTAACTGCTAATAGCCTACTGTTGACCAGAAGCCTTACCAATAAAACAATTGATTCACACACACCTTTATATGTTAAATGTATTATATACTGTATTCTTAGAATAAAGTAAACTAGAGAAAAGAAAATGTTATTAAGACATTCATAGGAAAGAGAAAATACATCTGCAGTACTGTACTGTATCTATTGAAAAAAATTTGCATACAAGTGGACCCATGCAGTTCAGCCCGTTGTTCAAGGGTCACCTGTATTTCTTTTTAAGTGTGTCAAATTCCACTTCTATTTGAAAAAGTGGGAGTAAGGCCCTGAGTGCGTGATGTAAATGTAAAGGAATATAGCCAAAATACTAAGCCCCAAGTAGGGAGGGTTTTATACAGGACAGAGCTGAGTTTGTGGCACCTACACTGCCCATAGCTACCTTCCTGTGCCCTCTTAAATTTTGTCTCTCTTGCTTTTCACTGGAAGGTAAGCAAGCCTCATTTATCTGGGTTATAATTTCCACAACTTGTAGGTTTTGATGATATATTGCCAAATACAGGAGACTATGTTTAAAAGTGTCAAAAGGCTCAGGAAGGAAATGGGAATGAGCCACGTATATCCTAGTTTTCCCTGTTGGTGTGCCGTGGATATAGGTACATCAAGAAGTTGCTCCCTCAGTCCTTGGAGTATCAGGCAGGCCTGTGATGACTGGGATCTTGACTCACTAGTCACCAGCAGTCTTCTCTATTTATGGATCTTACAAATGATAGCTTTTCTACATATAGCATAAAAGATTGGGAAGCAGTTGTTTTGTAGCAGGATGATGGGCTCCTTCTCATGAATTGTGGTATTTTATGGTTTGTAAACATGGTAGAATATTGCTGGGATAGGCATATAAGAAGAATAGCTCCAAATGCTAGGAACTTTCACAAGTACCTGATTTCACAGCTAAATAGCCAGCAAAACTTTGAAAGCAAAATTAAATTCATTTGGTTACAATATTTCAAGTTGACTTTGAAAAAGAAAAGGCAGCCTTTGAGCATGTTTCTTTTTTCTTTTCTTTTTTTTTTTTTTTGAGCATGTTTCTTTTTTCTGATGCCATTGTCTGTTCTTCCCGTGGTATACATTTAGATTCAATCTGATATTTGATAAGTATATTCTTGAAAACTTCTTCTGAACTTATTTTTTTTTAAGATTTTATTTATTTATTTGAGAGGCAGAAAAAGACAGATCAGAAGCAGGGAGAGGGAGAAGCAGACTCCCTGCAGAGCAGGGAGCCCGATGTGGGGCTCAATCCCAGGACCCTGGGATCATGTCCTGAGCCGAAGGCAGACGCTTAACGACTGAGCCACCCAGGCGCCCCAATGTCTTCTGAACTTCTGTGCTCCACTTTAAATTGTCTCATACTACAAAGTGATTTTGCCATATTATAGATTTTATATCATCAAGTTACTTTTATGATACAAGAAAGCTCAAATAAGTTTTTAAGTTATTCCTATACATTTTCCAAATAAGCGCTTAAAATTAGTTTAATTTATTATCAGTAATAGAATGTGATGCCTATTATTAGAGTGGCAGGTGAACTCACTGTTCAAGTGTTCAGCACTAATCTTTTCACTGACTTTTTATAATTCCAGGTTTAGACAGAATCATATGCTATTCACTCTGGTTTTTGGTCAAAATAGGGAGCTTTGAAAAGAAATAGTTGAAAACAAGGCTTGTTTGTGATTTTTCTTCCCCCTCTCCCTTGCTTCCTTCCTGCAGCTCAGCCTTTTACTGGAGATAGATTCTCAGCTGTTAACTGGTTTTAGAAGGATAAGCAGGTTATGATTAATTAGGATGTTATGACTTTACAAAGCCTCTAATATCTGTTTGGTCCTAGATATAGTTTTACTTTCTGGCTTCCATTTTGTCCCATTGTTAGCTTTAATTCTTTATTGACTTATGCTGTCTGACAGTAGGAAAGTTTGAGTTCTCTGGTTTGTGTTTGAGGTGTGATGTTAGCTGATAATATCCTTGTTTTGGCACTAGGGGGAGGTGTTGCCTAATTCCCGGAGTGGTTGAATTCTGCATCTAGGTTCTGTGTTTTTGACTAGCCGGCCAGACCAACCTTCTTCTCCCACCCCGCACAACTTTTGCGCAGCACTCAATATCTCCTTGTTATTAAACTGTATCTGTACTTAAAGAGAAACACTCAATACTCAACACTTAGCTCCCCAAGTAATTCCTAGGTATTGTTATGAAGGCTTCTGAAGCTGAATTGGGAAACAAGGAGATAAGTCTTATTTTCCTGAGGTTTAGAGAGCTACAGGGGAGACAGCCTAGGCAGTAGGAACCCTGGGTTCTGCTCCTTTTAGCTTCTAATCTACTCTGTGACATTGTATGGGTGACCTCTCTGAAAGTATATTGGCCTGGATGACCTCTGTGATTGAATGGGATTTAGTTTCCTCTGCCCATTTTATGCCTGCATCCAGTTGGATACATTACTGGTTTTCTTATATGTTTGCAACAGATAACACAAACTTGTATGGTGTGAGTTGTGGGACCTTACCATACCACCAGTTGAGGCTTATTTTTTTGTTAGTATCGTCGTTAAAATTAAATTACCTGTTAGGGATAACTGATTGAATTTTTATCATTTATGCCATTTTGGTTTTCTCTCCTATGCCACGGCTCAGAAGGAATGGAACACAAAAAGTAGATTTTGCCGGGCAGAGGGAAAGATGTAGCCCAGAGCATTGGGTGCCCCCAAGAAAGATGGGTGGAATGAGATAGGATGCTATCAGTTCTTCAGACAGCCAGAAGTGCCTGAGGAAGAGATGACAAAAGAAAATTGCCCAGCAGTTGACAGGACAGGAGAGTTTTGCCTACTTTTGCTGAAGGTGAACAGAGTAGTAGGCTCTTAATAGTTGGGGAGAGTCACAATTTAATTATTTCCTAGAATTGACAGATTTCTGGAAAAAGATTTTTTTGATGGAATTGCTTTTTTCATAAGCCATAAATAAATGGCCTAGAAAATGGGGAAAAAATAAAGAACATCCAACAACAAAAACATTTAGCCTTTTATTATTTCTTATATACTTCTGGGTAATCAGTTTTCATTTTTAAATATTTCTGTTGTCATAATCCTATTTCTTCATATTTTCAATAGACTTTTACTTATTTAGAAAGGTGGTTGTTTCTTTCTTTTTTTTTTGAAAAGTAATTGTTTCTTACTGCACCTTTGAGTGCTCAGTTTCCAGAGTTTCAGAATTTAGCAACTGTTCAGTGTGATTAGCCATTCATACACCACTCTGTGGCAGTTAAGATTGATGTTAATTCATAAAAGAGATAATCTCATATTTGAACAATGCCCCTAGATACTTTAAATCATTTAAAGCAATTTTTTCTTGGTAAATGAACAAGTCTAACTATAACTGGATGTGCTAAGTAGTTTTTGATCCCATCTGAGACTTTTCAGGTGCATTTTTTAACTGTTAGCAGCAGTTTTGAAAATAGCTACTGCATATGTTTCTTTATGGTTCTTAGACTGTTAAATCTCACCCAATTGCTAATACTGAGAGAGCAAATGATTTCATTTCCCTTATTATTTGTTCCTTGAATTCTTAAGTTCAGTGATTATTCTGCATCTCAGGAAAGTTTTGATCAGTAGAGTAGAAAATCCAGGTAGGCTGAAGCAATATTTTATCCTTGTTTTTTCAGTGATTGCCTTCATGTTGTGGATCCCATGCCTGTGCGTGGGCCTGATGTAGAAGCATACTGTCTACGCTGTGAATGCAAATACGAGGAAAGAAGCTCTGTTACGATCAAGGTAAAAAAAAAAAAAAAAAAAAAAAAATTCATCTCTTCTGCTTCTGGAATAGTTTTTGATGGTATCTAGACAAGAAAGAAAATTTTGGACATCTGAATTCTATTTCATTCATTCAACCACTGTTCTTCCCTCCCCTTCCCATCATCCGCTAACCCCTTCCTTTCTCATCCCCAGTATCAGCCCCAGAGGAACAGTGAGTCTGTTCTCTGCCTGCTTCATTGAGATGCTTTGTGGATTACTTAGGACATGTTACATAGGTGTGATATGTGAAATGGCACAAAAATGCCCTGTGTGAAATTAGCATATCCTGAAATATATCCCAGCATTTCTGTGGGCCACGTATGTCAGAAGCTAGTGAGAGCACAGCATGACTAGGCCCTTTTCTTCCTGCCCTCTCAACCCTTAGGGAAAAAAATAGAGAGACTATCCTAGAAGTATCACTTATGGATTCTAAGATTTCCTTTATTTTTTATAGGAAATAGAATGTAGATCACTCTCATCACCATTTGGACCTCTAATGAGTTCAATTACTTAATTATGGTGGCTAACAGTTCTTCTCCCCAATTTTTTTATATGAAGCTTCCCATTCATTCCCCCCTCCCCCAAGAAAAGCCCTCATGGAGAATCTGGGGTGGTCAGCTGTAACAGTGTAACAGTTACAAAGATTTCTGTGAGAGAGTTCCTACTCCAGCAAGGTGCTGTCCTGTAGAAAAAGCCTCACTGTACTTTATTTTTCAGCTAAGTTTTTGATGTGTAATTTCAGACCCTAAAAGCCACTCATTGTAAGTGTACAAGTGAATAAATTTTAGGAAATTTAAAACAATTTTTAAAAATTTAGTGTTAAAAACATTCCCATCACCCCAAAAAATCCCTCATGCCCATTTACAGTTAATCTCATTCCCTCCCCTAGCCTTAGACAATCACTATTCTGCTTTGTGTCTCTACAGATCTGAATATTTCATATAAATAGAATCATACAACATGTGGTCTTCTGTGACTGGTTCCTTTCGGTTAGCATAATGTCTTTGAGGTTTATCCATGTTGTAACAAGTTATCAGTATTTAATTCCTTTCTATTACTGACTATCATTTTATTATATGAATGTAACATATTTTCATTATCCATTCATCAGTTGATAGACATTTGGGTTATTTCCAGATTTTTACTATTATGAATAATGCTGTCATAAATATCTGGGCACATGTCTTTGTGTGGATATATGTTTTCCTGTCAGGTAGATTCCTTAGAGAGTTAAGTTTATTTTATCTTTTTAAGAGACTGCCGGATTGTTTTCCAAAATGGTTGTCCCATTTTACATTCCCACCAACGATGTGTGAGGGTTCAGTTTTGCCACATCCTTGCTATCATTTGGTACTAATTATAGCCATCCTAGAGGTGGTGGAAGAAGGGTGTCACACTGTACTTTTTGACAGCATACAGATTAAGATCTCAGGAAAATCACTGGCCTGAAATGTATTTTTGTATATCTAAATTAATCTAAAAGAGTATTCTGTTGAAATTCATCTGAATTAAATTTTTTGTTAGGGTTCCTTTAAATTGTCTAAGCACGTGCTGCTGAATCTAGGACACTGTATTCAGGTAAAAAAAGAAAACTGGTGTGTGAGCAGTGGTGACAAATGATTTGCAGTAGGTGAAGTTGGAGTTTTAAAGACTCATAATAAGATCCCAAAGACAAAATGCTTTCTTTTCTCTTTTTCTTTCTTTCTTTTTTTTTATTTTTTTTAAAGATTTTATTTATTTATTTGACAGAGAGAGACACAGCGAGAGAGGGAACACAAGCAGGGGAAGGGGGAGAGGGAGAAGCAGGCTCCCTGCTGAACAGGGAGCCCGATGCGGGGCTCTATCCCAGGACCCTGGGATCATGACCTGAGCTGAAGGCAGAGGCTTAACCAACTGAGCCACCCAGGCACCCCTCTTTTTCTTTAAATAAGATTTTGGTGAAGAGTTGAGTTTGTTTATGTTGGAATCTGGTTTGTATAGGAATCCTATATGCTTAGCAGAAAAATCAGTCTTCACTGTGGCTTCACTATTATTACACAAAATTCTGATTTCTTGGCTTGAATAGAGATGTAACTTACTTTCAACTTCCTTTAGGTTACCATTATAATTTATCTCTCCATTTTGGGCCTTCTACTTCTATACATGGTTTACCTTACTCTGGTTGAGCCCATACTGAAGCGACGCCTGTTTGGACACTCACAATTGATACAGAGCGATGACGATGTTGGGGTAAGTACTTGGCATGCCCCAGCTGGTGTATGGCCAGTCTCTGTCATCACCTGATATAAAGAGCAAGTGAAAAACAGTTGCAGATAGATGTTCATGTGCTGGAACAGATCCTCAACTAGAGAAGCTAAGGACTGTTTTAATTTAGTATATGTCTCTTCATGAGGAAATTGCTCTGGATAGCCATCAATATGGTGGTCTAAATTGATGATCATTGGTGCCAATGCTGTACAAGGCTTTGCCCTTTAGTATCAAGGACACAATGTTCATTGCCTTTCCCTGTTTACACTGAGAAAAGCTTCTGAGATAGATTTCTCCCCAAGCTCCTGCCTGAATACCATTCCTGTCAACATGACCAAATATATAGAAGGCAAAGAGGCTTTAGTGAAGGGAAGCATGAAGACAGTGTTCTTTTCTTAAGGAAGTGCAGCTTGATAACCTGCTGATGTTTTATATTTCTTTTCTCCTCCTTCTTAAAAAATCTCTGATCTTTAGAGAAAAACAAAACCATCATTCCCGCTTCTCTTCCTGTCTTAAAAACACGTTTCTATTTATACATATAGTTGGTATAATCAGTGTATAAATTGTTTTGTGGTCTCCTTTTTGTATTAACATTACTTCTTTAAAAAATGTCTAGTAATTAAAAAAAAGATGTCTGGTAATTGACATAGTCCACAAACTTGTTATTCAGTATAATTTAGAATTATATTTTGTCATTAACCTGTTTGGGCCTATTTTCAAATTTTCTACTATTTTAGTATTGTCTATATAATTATTTTTAGAAATTACTTTTTTTTTAAGATTTTATTTATTTTTTTGACAGAGAGAGACACAGGGAGAGGGAACACAAGCAGGGGGAGTGGGAGAGGGAGAAGCAGGCTTCCCGCCGAGCAGGGAGCCCGATGCGGGGCTCGATCCCAGGACACTGGGATCATGACTTGAGCCGAAGGCAGACGCTTAACAACTGAGCCACCCAGGCGCCCCATAGAAATTACTTTTTATTTTGGATTACTTTATTGGCCTACGTTCCTTAAAATAGATAAAATTCAATAGAGTTTCAAGAACCAATTCCAAAAGCTAAAGCCAGGGTGAACCCTTGCTAACTATAGTCAGAAGTCCTTTTACCCTGGAATGGCTTGTGGACCTGTTGATAAAAGATGGGAAGAGGGAATCCTGACTGGATGGCTGAAGTTATTACTACAAACAGAGCCTGCTTTTTGATCAATACATTGTTATCATATGAATATCAATTATGAATACTCAACTTATTTGGGCAAGATTTCATTTATGTTTTGTCAAGAACTTTCTTTTTTTTTTTTTTAAAGATTTTATTTATGTATTTGAGAGAGAGAGAGAGAGAGCACATGAGAGTGGGGAGGGTCAGAGGGAGAAGCAGACTCCCCGCCGAGCAGGGAGCCCGATGCGGGACCCGATCCTGGGACTCCAGGATCATGACCTGAGCCGAAGGCAGTCGCTTAACCAACTGAGCCACCCAGGCGCCCTGTCAAGAACTTTCATAGAAACACTTCTGTTTGCCTCTTTTTTCCTTCCTTATTAGCTCAACCAACACATAATGAATAACTTTTCTGTATCAGGTCCTCTGCTAGGTACTAGGAATAGAGAGATGAATAAAACAGAAACAGACATGTAAAAAGAAATGACTAATTATGGTATGTTTCCGCCTTTTATTTTTAACCATATAAGAAATGCCTATTCATTTTTGAAAACTATCAGGAGGGGATTATTGATAGGCTGGGAGAAAGGTCAAGACTAGAGATCTGATGTGGTCAAAAACCAGGCATATGAGGCTGATGAGGAAAGAGAGCTGGAAGGACAGGAGGTTGTGTACTAGAAGCATTAGAATCTCCAATACTGTTCCTGTGTCACTTTTCATTCACATATGACAGATTTTTCTCAGCCTCAACAGCACTGACATTTTAGGTTGGATAATTTTTTTTTTTTAAGATCTTATTTATTTATTTGAGAGAGAGAGTGAGAGAAAACATGAGCAGGGGAGAGGGAGAGGGAGAGGGAGAAGCAGGCTTCCCGCTGAGCAGGGAGCCCGATGTGGGGCTCCATCCCAGGACCCTGGGATCAGGACCTGAGCTGCAGGCAGACGCTTAACCCACTGAGCCACCCAGGCGCCCCTAGGTTGGGTAATTCTTTGTTGGGGGGCGTTTCCTGTTCATTGTAAGATATTTAGCAGCATCCCTGACCTCTACCCACTAGATGCCGGTAGCACCTCTCATCCTATTCGTCATAATCAGAAGTGTTCACAGATATTGCCAGATGTCCCTGGGGGACAAAATCACCCCCAGTTGAGAACTAACATATGAAAATGTTTTGTATCAAAGGCCACATAAACTATTTCTTTTTTTTTTTTTAAAGCTTTTATTTACTTATTTGACAGAGAGAGAGACAGCTGAGAGCAGGAACACAGGCAGGGGGAGTGGGAGAGGGAGAAGCAGGCTTCCCGCTGAGCAGGGAGCCTGATGCGGCGCTCGATCCCAGGTCTCTGGGATCATGACCTGAGCCAAAGGCAGACGCTTAACGACTGAGCCACCCAGGCGCCCCCACATAAACTATTTCTTAATAGGCACATGGATAGATAGAAAGTCTGACTTAAACTATATCCTTTACAGTATTAAATATTTGGTTCCTGATTTTAGAAATAAACTATTAATGTAATGCACATAGAACATAAAAGAAATGGATGCACAAATATGTAGATGAAAACATGTAGGAAAGGCATTTGATTGGTGGGGTCATGCGCTTGATAACCATTTTGTTCACCAGTGATTGATTCTGTGCATATATTAACTGAAAACATCTCTGAGAGTCCTGGCTGACTCTTGGATATCTATTGAATTAATTCTGGGCAGAGAGAGGTTTTCTAACCTCTAGTTGTGAATTTATGGTAACAACTCTGTACAAAAGTTAAATTTAAATTCCTACAATTGTTGCTTATCTTAACATGAGAATTCTTTACTATTTATCTGCTTTTAAAAATGTTTGTTTAATTCTCAGTTACATCCTTTCATCTTGTTTCATTTTTGTTCATTGTAGAGCATTTTAAATCAAATGAGAGTTAGTACAAATAGTTAAGCTCACTGCAAGTCACAATATTTATTGTATCATATATCCATGACACATCATTACTATTACCAAAGCATTATATTAAAACATGTTTTGTGTTTATTGTAATTTTATCAGGTGTAAAAAGAACAAACATATAAAAAGGGTAAATCTCTATTTGCATTCTTCTAGCATCCATGGCCACGAGCAGCTAGTACATTCTTGTTCTGATAGGCGGAAAATGGACAAAAGGATTAACTGGTTTGTTTAGTCCTTTAAATTTGTTCCTTAAGGAAGTTTTGCTCCCCCTACCTTGAAGGGTAGATAACAGGACTATGAAATTGAGAGCTGCTCTGCTGAGAAACTACATCCTTCTTCCCAGTCTTGTTTATATCAAAACAAACTAATGGTAATACTATTTTATATACAAGTTCACTGAAGCATTGTATTCCCAAAGAGTCATTTTAATCCACTTGAACAAAATCAGTGTGTTGAGATGATACAACACCAAGTCAAGGTGAGTTGAGCTAAGTCGTGTGTTCATTTGTTAGATGACCTCGGATCAGTTTATTTCCTTATGGGAAACCAAGTAATCCAACAACTTTAGCCTTCCTCGTTCCTGACTTTTTTTTTCCCTTAAATCTTTGAAACATTTTGAACTTTATGGGATTGTTTTTATTACTTTCATTCGTAAGATTAAAAATAAAAAAAATGGGTCTTGCTGTTTGCCTCTCTTGTAACAAGTTGTTACCTAAATTAAGCGAAAATTTGAGGAAATTTCGGTAAAGAAGGCAGGGAAAGATTCCTTATAGAAAACTTTTTGATGTCTTTGAAACGTAGACATTGCATAAGTGCCTTACTGTAAAAAGAAGACCAGGTGTTGTAACTCCACATAGTTAAAGTTGTATATATAGTTATGTGGTTGTGTATCGCTTTCCATAGACATGCTGACTCCTGTCTTGGATGTATAATAGAACTTTTGTAAACATGCACAGCAAAACAATATTTCTTTCTTTGAGGCAAGGTTTAATGTAAGAGGTACAGCTTGTGACTTGGATCCTATGTTGGAACATTTAGAAGCTTTGCTAACACAGGGTTCAGGAAAAAGAGATCAAGGAAAGGGCAAACAAAAGCAATAAATTAGTATTGAATCCTTTTTGTCATTTAGGCAGCTGTGTTTATATCTCATTCATAGATAGATTAGCATGGTGGTTTCCTGTGTCATGACTACAAACATCAGTGGCATTGGTTTACTTTGACCAGGATAGGTTGGTTTTCTACACAGATACCTGGGTAACCCCTCAATAGCCTCTTTCTTAAGGCAGCAACTGACATGGAGGCCCCTGAGTGCTCAGCAGTGAAAGATTCAGGTGTTTATCTAATAAAAATGCTTAAGTAATAAATTCTTACTGTCCTTGGTAATAGAGGGTGATTGTAGCACTTGGGGTTGGAGTTGTGTGTCTTCATTACAGACTGGGGGAGGGGGAAATGAAAAGGATTTTGGAAACCAGTCCGTTTGGTGTATCTGTTAAAGGTACAGGGAAATATTAAAACCAGTCAAGATAAGATCCTGTCTCCTCTCCCAAGGGTGAATGTGGCCTCAACTGGCAAGTAACAATTCTAATATAACAGGAGTCAGGAGAGTAAAAGACAAGTCTTTCCTCTGCCAGATTAGCTATATAGTATTGAATATAGCAAGGAAAAGCTCTACTTCCCATATCTGTAACATGTGAATATTAACATGAAAATAGATTTTCTTCCCCTACCTGTCAGGGAAGGCTGGTCTTTAACCTAAATGACCACTGTCACTGTATTTGTCTTGGTGCTTGCTTCTTACGGGAAATGTCTTTGGAAATGATGACTCCTGGAAACATTTCACAAATACCTCCTCATCACTCAAGCTACTTGAAACACTTATTTCTGTAGTTGAGTTCATCCTACTGGCACTTGAATGCCTAGGAGTGCTTGGCCCAAGAGATGGTCTGTTTGTAAAGTCCAGCCACTCCTATCTCTCTGGCTGGATAATTGCTCTTTTGTGCATGTGTTGTACACTGATGATGCCATCTCTGATGATCTCCATTCCTGGGCTTTCAGGATCACCAGCCTTTTGCAAATGCCCACGATGTGCTGGCCCGTTCCCGCAGCCGAGCCAATGTGCTGAATAAGGTAGAGTATGCCCAGCAACGCTGGAAGCTTCAAGTTCAAGAGCAGCGAAAATCTGTCTTTGACCGTCATGTTGTCCTCAGCTAATTGGAAATCAAATTGAAGGTGATTAGAAAGAAATGCAGACAACTGAAGAAAATTGACTGAGTTTTCCTGGGTTTTGTTTTAATACCCTGTTGATTTCACCAACTCTTGCTGGGAAGTTCAGAATTGGAAACAGAAATGTGCTTGGTATTTTCTTTTCTTGTTAACATATTAATACAGGCATTTTTAAGAGCACACACCTCAAAGTCAGCCAATTAACCTTTTTCCTATTTGTGACTTTTACTAATAAAAATAATTCTGCCTGTAAATTATCTTGAAGTCCTTTACCTGGAACAAGCACTCTCTTTTTCACCATACAGTTTTAACTTGGTTTTCAAGATAATTTTCAGGTGGTCTTTCTTTTTTCTTTTTCTTTCTTTCTTTTTCTTTCTTTCTTTCTTTCTTTCTTTCTTTCTTTCTTTCTTTCTTTCTTTCTTTCTTTCTGGCAGGGGAGGGGAGGGATGTGTGGGAAGTGGTTAACATAACTTTTCTCAAGTCACTTTACTAAACAAACTTTTGTAAATAGACTTAACATTCTATTTTCAAGTTTCATTTATATTTTGCCGTGTAGCCAGCCTCATCAAAGCCCTGACTTACCCATTTGAATTTTGCACTAACTATATTATCTAGGTATCTGGTTGGCCTATGGCTGCACTTCATGGTAAAGTGGCTCTGAACTACCTGGTGGCTCTTCATAAAATGCAGATTTTCCTCATGTACTGTGATGTCTGATGCAATGCATCCTAGGACAAACTAGCAATTTGCTAGTTTACTCTAATGACTAAACATAGTCTGGTGTGTGTGGTCTTTCTCATCTTCTAGTATCTTTAAGGATGAATCCTAAGAACTTGGACACTTGCAATAAAGGAATTTTCTTTTAACCCCAAGTGTCTCTGGATTGGTGACATACACACATTTGTCCACATTTCTGGTCAGGTGGAGAGGCAGCTGTTTGAGCTCTAGTGTGTGCAGCTTTGAACTAAGACTGGAGTTCCTTGCTGGGTGCCTCCCTCTGAAAGGTATAACAGTTATTGGATAACTGGCTTTTTTCCTCCTATGTCCTCTTTGGAATGTAACAATAAAAATAATTTTTAAAACACCAGTGTTTCTCTCCTCCTTCTTTTGCTGTATAATAAACTCGAAGATACAAAGACATTTGGTCCCCTGTTATGAGACTACTCTTTTATAACAGTGGTTCATCATAAAATATTGGTACTAAATTATCTGTGTGTGCATGTGTGTGTGGAGAAGAAGGGAGAAAGAAGAAATGTATGGTCCTTAGATGGGGCTCTGAAAGTATACAAATATTATTTTGATAAATTGAGAGATTAAAATTCATGAAGAGAAAAATAAAATGCATGAGGGAGGGCTTGTTCAAAGAAATTCTTGGCAGAAATTAGATTTAAATTACATTAATAAGGTTGAGGTTTTAGGAGTTCTTAATAGGTTTTTTGGTTAGTAAAAAATAATTTTTTTAAACCTACAAACCTAACCTAAAATTATTGATTTTATTGTTAGTATTAAAAGATGTAAGTAAGTTCAACTACAACCAAGCGGAATTTATCTCAGGTATGCAAGGCTGATTGAACATTCAAAAATCAATTAATAAAATCTATCACAGCAACAGGATAAAGAAGATAAATGACATGATCCTATTAATGCAGAAAAAGCATTTGACACAATCCAACACCCATTTATGTTTAAAAAAAAAGAAACTCAGTAAACTAGGAATAGAGGAGAAATCCTTCAACTTTATAAAGAACATCTACAGAAACCTACAGCTAACATCATACTTGAAACAGAAGCTTTCCTGTTAAGATGAGGAACAAGGCAAGGATACCCTCTCTCATCACTTCCTTTTCAACATCATACTGCAAATTTTAGCTAAGGCAATAATGAAATAAAAGGTATACAGATTGGGAAGGAAGAAATAAAACTGTCTTTGTTTACAGATGACATGATAGTCTACATAGAAAATCCAAAAGAATTGACAAAACCCTAAAACTCCTGGAACTAATTAAATTAGTTATACAAAGGTTGCAAGATGGAAGGTTAATATACATAGGTCAATTGCTTTCCCATATACTATCAATGAAAAAGTGAAATTGAAAACACAATACCTCTTACGTTACCAGTCCCCAGAATGAAATAGGTATAAATCTAACAAAATACACATTAGGAAAACTACAAAACTGATGAAAGAAATCAAAGAACTAAATAAATGGAGAGAGATTCCACATCCGTGGATAGGACGGCTCATTAACAAGATATCAGTTCTTCCTAATGATCTATAGATTCAACACAATCCCTGCCAAAAATCTCAGCAAGTTATCTTGTGGATATCAACAAACTGATGCTGAAGCTTATATGATGAGGCAAAAGACCCAGGAAAGCCGACACAATAATGGAAAAGAACAAAGTTGGAGGATTGACACTATTTGACTCCAAGACTTACTATAAAACTACAGTAATCAAGTCAGTGTCAGTGTGGTATTTACCAAAGAATAGACAGATAAACAGAACAGAGAGCCCAGAAATAGACCCACACAAATGTAGCCAACTGATTTTTGACAAAGGAACAAAGGCAATACAATGGAGAAAAGCATTTTCTTTCTTTCTTTTTTTTAGATTTTATTTTATTTGAGAGAACAAGCAGGGGGTAGAGGCAAAGGCAGAGGGAGAAGCAGACTCCCCGCTGAACAGGGAGCCCAATGTGGGACTCGATCCCAGGACACTGGGATCATGACCTGAGCCGAAGGCAGACACATAACTGACTGAGCCATCCGGGTGTCCCTAGAAAAGCATTTTCAACAAATGGTGCTGGAACAACTATACATCCACATGCAAAAAAAAAAAAAAGCAAGACACAGACCTTACACTCTTCAAAAAACTAACTCAAAATGGATCATAGACCTAAATGTAAAACATAAAACTAAAACTCCTAGAAGATAACATAGGAGAAATCTAGATGACCTTCGGTTCGGTGATAACTTTTTTTTTTTAAAGATTTTATTTATTTATTCATGAGAGACAGAGAGAGAGAGAGGCAGAGGGAGAAGCAGGCTCCCAAGGAGCAGGGGCCCGATGCGGGACTTGATCCCAGGACCCTGGGATCATGACCTGAGCCGAAGGCAGACGCTTAACCATCTGAGCCACCCAGGCGCCCGGGTGATAACTTTTTAGATAAAAGACAAAAAACACGAATCATGAAAGAAAGGAATAGTGGCAAGTTGGAATTCATTACAATTAAAAACTTGTACTCTGTGAAAGACAATGTCAAAAAAATGAGAAGCCACAGACTGGGAGAAAATATTTGCAAAAGACGTATCTGATAAAGTTCTATTATCCAAAATATACCAAGAACTCTTAAAACTCAACAATAAGACAACCTGATTATAAATGGGCCAAACACCTGAACAGACATCTCACCAAAGAAGATATACAGATGGAAAATAAGCATATGAAAAGACGTTCCACCACATGTCCTCAGGGACATACAAATTAAAACAACAATGAGATACTACCACACACCCATTAGAAGAGCCAAAATCCAGAGCACTGACCAAACGCTGGTGTGGATGTGGAGCGACAGGAACTCTCATTCATTGCTGGTGGGAATGCAAAATGGTACAGCCACTTTGGAAAAAAATCTGGGAGTTTCTCAACAAAACTAACATGAACTTATATGATCCAGTAGTCACACTCCTCAGTATTTACCTAAAGAAGTTGAAATCTTATGTCCGCACATGGATGGTTATAGCAGCTTTATCCATAATTACCAAAACTTGGAAGCAACCAAGATGTCTTTCAGGAGGTGAATGGGTAAATAAACTCTGATACATCCAGACAGTGGAATATTATTCATCACTAAAAATAAATGAGTTATCAAGCCATAAAAATATGTGGAGGAAATTTAAATGCATATTACTGAGTGCAAGAAGCCAATCTGAAAAGGCTACATACTGTGTGATCCCAACTATATGACATTCTGGAAAAGGCAAAACTATGGAGGTGGTAAAAAAAAAAAAAAAAATCTGGTTGTCATGTATTGGGGGCAGGGAGGAATGAAAAGGTGGAGCACAGAGGCTTTTTAGAGTAGTAAAACTGTTCTGTATGATACTATGATCCTGGATACATGTCGTTATACATTTGTTAAAGCTCACAGAATGTATAACACCAAGAGTGAACCCTAAGGTAAACTATGGACTTTGAGTGATGATGTGTCAATATTGGTTCATCAATTGTAAAAATATATAACTGGGGGGAGATGTTGGTAGTGGGGGAGGACATGCATGTGTAGGGAAAGGGGTATATGGGATCTCTTTGTACTTTCTGCTTCATTTTGCTGTGCATCTAAAATTACTCTAAAAAGTCAAGTCTAAATAGAGGAAAATAAATTTAAAAGGTATTGTAATAAAATTTAGGTTCATATTGACCTTCCTGGTTATGGCCTTAATCTCTATTTAAAAGAATATTGATCAACATTATGAGACTATTACAGATATTTTCCATAAATAATTGTGATAGAAAATCATATAAACCAGGTGAATGGGGAGGAATTCTTTTTACAAAAGAATTTGTTACAAGAGTCTAGTTTTGTAAGCAAACCTTTCTACTTAGTATTGTTATGTGTTGTCATATCTACATATTAGGTAGAAAAAAATAGCTAAACCAGAACTAAGCAGTTCTGTTTAACTGTAAGCTACTTTGCATATAGTTACTAAATGATCACCTATAAATCATGTTAAGTCTGACACAGCCCAAAATACAGCATCTTAGCGACAAAACAGGTAAGAGACTCTTCTTCAGAGTAGCCCACTGGGGGAGAATAGGTACATGGCCTTTAAGAAAATTCCCGGGCACAGTTGATAAATGATGAATTTTGTCAGCTGATTATTCCATTGTCGTTAACTATCAACCATGCCCACATGTTAAATGTCCAGATTTTGCTGGTGATTAAATCATCTGGAAGAGTGGGAGGCATTTTGTTTGGAAACCGGGAGTCCTAGGTTCTGACCCCTGCTCTGTTACCAGCTCTGCAAGCTTAGCCAACTCACAACGTATGAGGGATTGGATAAGAAGATTTCTAAGATTCCTGCCATCCCTAACATTCCATAAAGTAATTATATGTGCAGTTGTAGCTTTGTGTTTTTTACATGCTAGGTATTTTTAATATCTTTGAAAAGTTGAAGTTCTTATGCTCAGCACTGCTACTGGAATCTTAGGATTTTATCATTAAGACCTCATCATTTCTTTCCCAGAAGACAGAAATCTGAGATTTTCTCAAGATAGGTGCATTTGTTAGCTGTGCATGTATCTGGAGCTGCAAAGCCCCAGCACCAATAGTCTGTGTTGGTTTCTTTTAAAAACTTGTATTCAATTTCTACAAACACTTCCATCCTCCACTAGGCTTCCTATCTTGATCCTCTTCTTTTTTTTTTTTTAAAGATTTTATTTATTTATTTGACAGAGAGAGACAGCGAGAGCAGGAACACAAGGAGGGGGAGTGGGAGAGGGAGAAGCAGGCTTCCCGCTGAGCAGGGAGCCTGATGCGGGGCTCGATCCCAGGACCCTGGGATCATGAACAGAGCCAAAGGCAGACGCTTAACGGCTGAGCCACCCAGGGGCCCCTTGATCCTCTTCTTTATGTATTTTTCATTCTATCACTTTGTTGTGCTGTGATTAAATTTTCTTCTTTGAATAAAAGATGGTCATATTTAAATGCTACTACACTGATTGGTGAACTTTTGGGAAATGCTCAATAAAAAAAGCTTCTCATCACTGTGTCTACAGAGACACTAAGCTTTTTTTCCCAAGAATTATGCATAGTCTACTTAAAGCCCAGAAACTGTTAAGTGGCATATATGAATGACTCAGATTTCATCTGGGTCAAGGTTTAAGACATTAAAATGATCTGTCAGGATGAAACCATACCTGAAGAATTCTTGCGTGTGATTGGCTTTGCTGGCATCTGCTTTGCATTTTGATACTGTGTTGTGCCAGGTCTGGCTTGTTAGCCATAGGCAGAAATAAGGCTCTGCTGTTCTCAGTAACATAGAAATACAGGCTCCATGCCCATTGTGCCATCATTTTGTAGCTTCTGCCATACTTATTCTTGATCTCTTACCCTCTGGAATTCCTGCCTTGGGAATTTCCTAACTCTTCTCTCAGGAACTTTTTATTTTTGACAGAATCTTGGCTAGTTTTTAATCTTTCAGAGATTTTTGTTTTAAGTTAATTATTTTAGGCCATTTGGTCAGTAATTTGGAATCTTTCATTTCTTTTTCCTTTGTTTTGATCTTTATTTGTTTATTTGTTGTTTTTTTTTTAAGATCTTATTTATTTATTTGACAGAGAGAGACACAGCGAGAGAGGGAGCACAAGCAGGGGGAGTGGGAGAGGGAGAAGCAGGCCTCCCGCCGAGCAGGGAGCCCGATGCGGGGCTCGACCCCAGGACTCTGGGACCATGACCTGAGCGGAAGGCAGATGCTTAACTGACTGAGCCACCCAGGCGCCCCCGTTTTGAGTTTTAATTGCACATTTCACATTTATCTCCTCCTCCTCCCCCCAACCCCCTTTTAGGAAGAGCATTCCCTGGTATTTATTTACTCCCTTCCAGGTTGTTCACCATGACTCCTTACAGCACTCTCCACCTCCCACCATCCCCACCCTCATCCCCTACCCCCCATTGCATACTGCCATTCCTGATTCCATAGTCATTTTTGTCTTTCAGCAGCCATACTAGATAGGATAGACTTTTTCACACTTTCCTTTAAAGTAATACCCTTCATCGCACTTGAATCCTGGTGCTTAGAGGTTGCTCCACCCATTACATGGTGCGGGCTGCAGGTTGTTGCTATGCTCAGGCAGAGAAGCGAGGGACAATGTTATCTGATCTTGCTCACAAACACGGTTGTGGGGAGGAGGGTGGCCTCTTTTTCTCTACACATGCCAAGCATAGAGGTCAAGCCCTCAGTCTTAAAAATGTTGAAACATCACACCCTGCAGAATGAACAGAAAGTCATATTTCCTCTTTTCTGAAGGCCCACAGGCAGATTTCATGTTGCTTTTCCATTTTAGGTATGGTCCTCTCTCAACAAATAGGTTTCGGATACATTGATGTTTGATTTTCCAGTGTGAGGGAAAATATAAGCCAGGTTTTTCTGGAAGGTGCAACTTAGAAAGGGACACTGCACAAGTATTCATCTGTAAAGAAAGGAAAGAGGAAAAGAACTCACGCCTGTACATTAGGTATTTTTTTTCCATTTGATCCTCACAACCACCCTGCAGAATAGTTAATACCTCAGTTGATCATAGGAAAAAGATGAAGCTCAGAAAGGCTAAGTAACTTGCCTAAGGACACACAGCTAGGAAGGGGCAAAGCCAAGATTGAAACTCAAGGGTGTTATAACTGAAAGAAAAATGCTCTTTTCCTACAGCACTACCCTGCCTCCTAGTTAACCGGTTAAACTGCAATATCCTTGTAAGATCTGTTGTAGTTTTATTATTATAGTCAAAGGCAAAAAGTAATGGTGGTTTAGTCAATGAGGTTCATGAAGACCTATTCAGAAAAAAGGACTGTCTGGGTGTGAGACCTCTTGGGGTGTCATGCCTTATCCTTATGTTCCATGAAAAAAAAACACCTAAATACAGATGCACTTCATTCAATATATTTAAAGTTCTGAGTAAGTAAAAATATATAAATTGACCATGTTTTAAATTTATTTGGGGAGTTTCTTATTTAAAGGATCTTAAAGTGAATTTTTAAGAGCAAAAGATTCCTTTCTTATTTTTATTTTTGGTTTTGCCCCTGGCATACCAGGTATTATTTAAGAAGGCTATACCCATGAGGTTGCATGATCATTAACTCCTTTGTAAGGGCTCCAACATGTATTTGAATATTGTGGTATTTCAGTGTTTCCCAAACTTTAATTATTTGCATGCACCTTCATGGTCTTCATTATCTGTGTTCCACTTGTACTGTTATTCACTTACTATTTTTCTTCAAGGGACATGTTTTACTCGAGTAGATGTATTTTTATTTATTTATTTTATTTTTTTAAAAATGTTAACTCTTTTTTTTTTAAGATTTTATTTATTTATTTGAGAGAGAGAATGAGAGAGAGCACGAGAGGGAAGAGGGTCAGAGGGAGAAGCAGACTCCCCTTTGAGCAGGGACCCCGATGCGGGACTCGACCCCCGGACTCCAGGATCATGACCTGAGCTGAAGGCAGTCGCTTAACCAACTGAGCCACCCAGGTGCCCCAAATAGATGTATTTTTATAAGAAATTTTGTATCACTGCCCTAAGTGTGAAATCAGTGTAATTCACAATTAATAGAAATCAACAGCAAACCATCATTAAATTCTAGCTAGATAGTATCATTTGTTGGAGACTTCCGTCTGAGGAGGATCAGAAAGCATTCTAGGAGTGTGGAAGACACATTCTTCCATGACTAAAGCTGTATCTTTGTAATCACCAGGATTCAAAGTGTTGAAAGGAGATAACTCTCTCACAAAATGAGTTAATGTTATTTATTGCTCTTCCTCTGTACCACCAAAAAGATCCTCTCTCTTACTCCCCACAGAGTATTGTAACCCCATATCATTTTCAGAATGAGCTCAGAAACTATCCATCAAAGCAGAGAAAGCTTTAAAACAATGATCTCTGAGAAAGTGAATGGTATCTGCTCTTTTGATCTGGCTAAATTGATAAACTTGGTTATGTTTCCAGGCTAAAGAGGAAACGATGGACAATCAAAGCTACTCTAATCTGCCAGAAAAGCTGCCTACCTTCTCTGATTCTGTCCACTTGCCACTGACCAGGTCCTTCTATCTGGACCCCATGGTCACTTTCCACCTGTACCCTGATGCCCCGGTGTCGTCCCCTTACTCTGAAGACCTGCCATTGCTGCCCTTTCCCAGCGATTCCCTATTCATGGAAAATTATGGTGAACCCTGCCCCTTCTCCTTCCCAATGCCTTATCCAAATTACAGAAGGTGTGAATACTCCTATGGGACAGCCTTTATCCGCAAAAGGAATGAGCGGGAAAGGCAGCGGGTGAAGTGTGTCAATGAAGGCTACGCCCAGCTCCGACATCATCTGCCAGAGGAGTACTTGGAGAAACGACTCAGCAAAGTGGAAACCCTTAGAGCTGCCATCAAGTATATTAATTATCTGCAGTCTCTTCTGTACCCTGATAAGGCGGAGGCCAAGAATAACCCTGGGAAAGTTTCCTCCATAATGGCAGCCACCAGCCGCCACACTGACCCCATTTTTAGAATCATTTGAGTCAGTGTTTCTGAATAGAAACAAACAATTTCACAAAACGGAGTCTCTTATAGCAGCATTCAGTAGTTTTTCCTAAACGTAATTTCTGCATAGGGTGATAACAGCTCAAATGTCCACCTGTGCTGGGTGTTTCCTACCAGGGTTTCAGATGTACTAAACATGATCCTATGGGGATTGAGAAGATGCGTCTTAAGCTTTGGTGATTTCTTTCAAAAACTTTAGAGGAGCAGGCGTCCCCAGGATTCTCTATACCCCTCACCTTGCCCTTCTCCCACACTTGGCCAGAGTCTCAGCTGTAAGAAACACTCCGAAAGTATTGTAAAGTCTGACCAATGAGTAATCAATGCTTGTTAAGCCCTTTGCAAACACTTCATGCTAAGCGATCACAATGAAACTCCCTTGTTTGTCAAAGTCTGGTAGTTCTTATTATTATAATTTGGGGTTGACAGGAAATCTCTACATCTATACCTTACCCACGTCGTGATGGGAAAGTGTCCCAGGGCTGAAGCAAAGGTAGCTAACAAAATCTTGTTGTCATCTGAAATTATTTTGGAGTCATCTTTTTCCTGCATGCAGAAGACTTCCTCAGGCAGCTTAGTCTAGGGGTTAAGAAGGCTGTGCAGTCTCTGGAATCCAACTGCCTCAGTTTAAACTATGAATCGGCTCCCTCCTCTTCGTGTCTAAGTTCGTCATCCACAGAATGAGAATAATACCAACAGCAACTATTCCCCCATATGTTTATTAGGAGAATTAACAATGCCTGACACATAAGTATTCCTAACCATTATTATTATTATTATTATTGTATTGTCCATAGCATCACCATTCTACAGGTTCTCCCGGCCAGAAAACGGACAGGGGCCACACCTGTCCTTCCCCACCGGGAAAGACAGTCACTGCCCCATATCTTGGAGTCTGCCTTCAAAATGTCCCTATTTCCATTCCCATGACTAGTTTCAGCTCTTCCTTCTCCCTTAACTCCCAGGTCCCATCTGTTGCCAAGCCCAGTCAGGATGTGCCATACACTGGCACATTCATCTCCACTGTCATCTCTGTGAAGTCTTCCCATTCCCGCCATTACTTGTTCCTTTATTTTGTACACATATTTCCTCACAGATCCTACCCTACTATCTTTACATACTGTATCACCCACCCACTTATCTCTTCAGTAGATAGGGACCAGTCTTATTCCTCCTATATTCCTCGCACCCAGCAGAGAGCCTCAAATCAGGCAGATGTTGTGGGTAAATATTTGGTGTTACTATTTTCCTATTCCAATCCTGTCCCATTTTATCTGGGTCACTGTTAAGAGTCTCCTCCTGGGGTGCCTGGGTGGCTCAGATGGTTAAGCGTCTGCCTTCGGCTCAGGTCATGATCCCAGGGTCCTGGGATCGAGTCCCGCATCGGGCTCCCTGCTCCTTGCGAGCCTGCTTCTCCCTCTGCTTCTCTCTCTCTCTCTCTCCCTCTTTCTCTCTCCTCCTCTGTCTCTCATGAATAAATAAATAAAATCTTAAAAAAAAAAAAAAAGAGTCTCTTCCTGGCCTCCTCGGCTCTAGTCTTAACTGGCTACGTTCTTATTCTGATGTTTTTTCTTCAAGCATTTCATGAGCATTTCCTTGCTCAAACCCCATGACATCTTCCTTTTGACTACCATATTGTTTACATTTATCTGCTTAGTTTTCAAAGCTCCCATCGATTTGGCCCCTTTCAAATAGTCACACCTTGATTTTCTCATGACACCCCATTTCCTCCAAAAGAGAAAAGCAATCTTGCAATTGCATCCTTCTCTCTTAGCATTTGCCTTCTAAACTGGAATGTTCTCCTTTTTCCCTCCATCACTGAAATCCCACCTTTTTTTTTTATATTTTATTAGAGAGAGAGACAGCAAGAGAGGGAACACAAGCAGGAGGAGTGGGAGAGGGAGAAGCAGGCTTCCCGCCGAGTAGAGAGCCCGATGTGGGGCTCGATCCCAGGACCTGGGATCATGACCTGAGCTGAAGGCAGACACTTAACGACTGAGCCACCCAGGGGCCCCGAAATCCCACCTGTCTTTTTTTTTTTTTTAATATTTTATCAGAGAGAGAGAGAGACAGCAAGAGAAGGAACACAAGCAGGGGGAGTGGGAGAGGGAAAAGCAGGCTTCCCGCCAAGCAGAGAGCCCGATGTGGGGCTCAATCCCAGGACCCTGGGATCCTGACCTGAGCCGAAGGCAGACGCTTAACGACTGAGCCACCCAGGCGCCCCGAAATCCCACCTGTCTTATTCAGAAATCCTCCTCCCGCTGCCAGAGACCCCATTGGTCTTTCTTGGACTCTAACTTTCTGCACCAAATAACTCAGCCTTTTCATGTGTGATCCTTAGCAACAGTCATTCTCCTGACATAACTACAGAATTATGCTCTGGGCGGGCAGTCATCACTTAAGATGCTTTTGGTTACAAGTAAGAGAAAAATCCAATCCAAATTTGTATAATCAGTAAAGGTTCACATAACTGAAGCATCTAGCTCTAGGCCTGCCTTCGGGAAGGGCTCAACAACGTCACCGAGAACCTGTTTTGTTTCGGTCTATCATCCCTTTCTCTGGGAATAGCTTCAGTGTCCCCAGAAGGCAGTCAGAGGCTCCTAGAACCATGTACTTTCTTATTTATGTAGAGGAGGAAAGACAGAGTCTATAACCCAGGATTCTCAACACAGGTCCTGAGATTTACTCTGATTGGAGAGCCTGGGGAACATGCCCACGTCTTGCCAATCCCCAGAGCGGAGCCGGGGAGTGGAGTGTGCTGACGGACACACACTCTACCTGTGGAGCTGGAGGTACAGTCAGCCTCTTTAACCACGTGCACCTGCCAACGGAAACAGGAAGTGTTGGAACAGGGGAATGGATGTGAGAGAGACACCCACAAATGTCCCCGCATACTTTTTTGGTATTCTCCCCTGAACACGGTGCCAGGCACGCAATTGGCACACAATGGCTGTCAGATGCCTCCAAATACCAGCCTGTCCCATGGATGTTCAAATGAGAGCAGAATCCAGACTTCTGTCCCCTTGGTCACCTCTGTCCACTCCCCTCACCCCCAAGTGGTCGCCACATTTCTGCTCCTCAGCAGGGTCCTGTCTATTACAGACAAACATGCCCACACTTCTGGTTATTTTGCTTTAAACTACAGACAAATTCTATCTTAGAGTCCGTCAGCCAGCCAGTGGCTCACCTAACCCAGCCTCCTGTCTGCACGGGATGGAGGCAGATCAATAGCCCTTAGACTCTGTAGAGGCAGCGCCCTCCCTCACAGGACTCTGCTGGGACTCACGAGGGCCTCTTCCAGCAGTGGGGAAGCCTGAGCTTCGGGGAATTCAGGCTGCGGTGACCTTTCTCTCCAAAGCCCTCTCTCCCCGTTTCCTCGGAGAAACCCTCTGCCCGCTTGCCCGGCCCACGCCCCGCAAGGCGCCCGCCACCTCTCTGCGCATGCTCAGTACACTCAGTCCACAGCGTTCCTGCCGGCTCGCAGCGGTGGCAGCCTGCTCGGCAACCAGCAATCAGTTGGGCTGAGGCCCTGAGCCCCAACGGTCAGAAGGCTGAGGCGGAGGAGTTTGGGGCTGTGGGTAAGTCCCCTTGGGGTCAGACCTGTGGACTTGGGCAGGAGCTCTGGTGGGCTGGGGCAGCGGAGTGTGATCTTGGGCCCTGGGTGGCACGTCTGAACAGGTCTGTGGAGGACACGACCCTGGGATCTCAGCTGGGGCTAGAGTTAGTCCTGGAGGTGACTGGATTAGGAAGGGAGTCTGTGGCCTAGATTAGGGGTCAGTTTGTTATCAGGGTTAGGCCAGCCATATTTGTTTTTGTTTTTGTTTTTTAAAGATTTTATTTATTTATTTGAGAGAAAGAATGAGAGAGAGAGCACATGAGAGGGGGTAGGGTCAGAGGGAGAAGCAGACTCCCTGCCGAGCAGGGAGCCCGATGTGGGACTCGATCCCGGGACTCCAGGATCATGACCTGAGCCGAAGGCAGTCGCTTAACCAACTGAGCCACCCAGGCACCCGGGCCAGCCATATTTGTGAGGGGAAGTACTGTTTTAACCCCGGGAGTCCCTACAACTGGGGAGGAGGAAAAAACTAACGTATATTGAGCCACTGATCAGCCAGGTGCTTTCAGTATGTTATCTGCACCATAACTGAAGTGCGTGGTAACGTGAGCACGCAGCCAGCAGGCTGTGAAGGATTTAAAGCTGGGTTTCTCTAAAGTCACAACACTTGCTTTTTCAACCCCTCCCCTATCTCCTCAGCTGAGGTTCCAGAGGCAGGTGATTCAGAGAACAGCCTGAGCCGCTGTGGGAGCAGGTGGGGTCTGCTAACCGGGGAACTGAGCCCTGCACCAGCCAGGTGCCCTCTGCTGGGCTGGGGGCTGCAACTCGGGTAATGGCGGTGCTTGTTCTCACCTCGTTTCTCCTCCCAAGGCCATGGAATCCTCTGCAGGGCCTGGGACGCCTTTGCCCAAATACCGCAGTGTGGCCATGACCCTGAAGTCCCCTTCCAGGACTGGCGCTGCTCCTCCTTGGGGACTCTCCTTCACCTGCCCCTTTGCCATCCAAGCACCCCAGCTCACCTGGCACAACCTGCTCTCCAGGTACTAGTCTCGGCTCCTCTGGCAGAAGTGATGAGCACCCCTCTGGTTCCTCTCTGTTCTTGGCTCTCGACAGTGAACCATGAGGGAGACAACTTGCTTCCTGCAGAGGCTGGAAGGGTTCTTCACCGTGTGGGCTCTGATTTGCTCATGGTATTCTATCCCTCCTGTCTGAACTGTGCTCCTTGTAGCACCTTGTAGAAAGGTGGCAGATGTCAGAGTTGGCATGTGAAGAGAAGGCAGTCAGGTATCACCAGTTAAAGAGCTTCCAGCTCAGTTTACCACCAACTACGAGACTAGCCCTGGCACCACGTGAGAAATTAGGGTTTCTGCAACCAACAGCTAAGGCGAGGTCTCTGGGTACCTCCTCAGGTTTCCTCAGTATCCCTCAGTGATCCTGGCCTTTCCCGAATCGAATCCTTGGTGGGCTGTCTAAAGTGTGATTGCAGAAGGGAAAGGAAGCTCAGCCCTCAAGCATACACATGTGGTGTCAGTTCCAGGGATTCACTTATGTCCAGGCCACTCAGTTCTGTCTGCCCAGGTTAGGGACATACCAGCTTGAACCCTTAAGAACCTGCTTTCTAGATTCATCTATGTGGATCATCTTTTTTTTTTTAAGATTATTTATTTATTTCACAGAGACACAGCGAGAGAGGGAACACAAGCAGGGGGAGTGGAGAGGGAGAAGGAGGCTTCCCGCGGAGCAGAGAGCCCGAAGTGGGGTTCGATCCCAGGACCCTGGAATCATGACCTGAGGTGAAGGCAGATGCTTAACGACTGAGCCACCCAGGCACCCTGTGGACCATCTTGTTTAAAGCCAGAGTTCAGCATCCCTGCCTCCAGGCTTGCCCACAAAGTAAACAGCTTCTTCAGAAAACCCAAACCCTGACTCAATAATCCCTCCCCACCACTGCACCCCCGCTTTGGTCCTGTCCACAAACCTCTCCAGGAGTAGCTTCTCCTTTTTCCTGTCTCTCAGCCCCTTAGCCAGCTCCTCTGTGCTTTCCCTGCTCAAACATGTCCTCCCTTCTGACCCCATAGCACCAAGCACCCTTCCCATGTTACTCCTTTGGTACTACCATCCAAACGTGCATGCCTCATCCTCGATTCCCACAGACTGCCTTTGGATTTACCTCCTCAGTGCTCTTTCCTGGTCTGCTGTTCAGTCTCAGGACCAGCATTAATTCACTTGACTATATCCAGGCTAATCACATTTTGATGACCTTGAAGCAATTCTCAATCCCCAAATGAGAGTTCCCTTCACTGTCCTCTCCTTCTGCCCCTTCCAGCAGTTTATCTTGTCTTACTGGAAGTCACAGATTGCCAGCCACTTGCTACATGGATTTCTGTTCCACACAGCCTTCTATGTCATATGCACACTGCAGTCCTGCTCAGATCTGTGAAATGCATTTCTTGATGTTTTTAGGGCTTGGTCTTCTCCACTCCCTAATTCCATTTGCTTTTTCTCAGCATGGCAGGGGCCTGGCTGGTTGGGAAGAGTTGGAGATGCTGCTGACACATGGGTCCTGGCAAGAAGGGGACCAGATGGCTTTTATTACCGGGCTCAGATAAAGGCTGCTCCAGAGGCAAGTTCCTCACATCTCCCAGCACACTCCTCGGAGTGGCCTGTCAATACTGCTATGCCTCAGCTGTGTGTGCCCAGCAGGACAGTTTCTTGGATAGGCACACATCGTTCAGGGCCAGGTTCTAGAAGGGAAATGTAATGGCGGTGAGTGTATTAGTTTGCTAGGGCTGTGTAGCAGGGTAGCACAAACCAGGTGACTTAAAGAACAGAAATGTATTGTCTCTCAGTTCTGGGGAATGAAGTGCAGGTGTTGGCATGTTGGTTCTTCTGAGGGTTGTGAGGGAGAATCTGTTCTACATGCCTTTCCTAACTAATTTCCGGTCGCTTGCTGACCATCTTTGGTGTTCCTTGGCTTATAGAAACATCACCCCAATCTTTGCCCCACCTTCACACAGTATCTTCCCTCTGTGCATGTCTGTGTCCACATTTCCCCTTTTTATAGGAACATCAGTCTTTGGATTAGGCACCCACCCTACTCAGCCTAGCATGACCTTGTCTCAACTTCTTATATCTGCAATGATCCTATTTCCAAATAAGGTCACAACCTGAGGTAATAAGGGTTAGGATTCTAACAGATGCATTTTGGGGGGGATACAACTGAACCTGTGACAGTGAAGAAAAGAGAGTGAAAAGTGCTCTGTTCAGGAAAATTCAGTGTGTTGAATGATGGGCACCAGCCTAAGGGAAAGAGAAACAGAATATGCCCACATGCACGTCTCTGCCCGTACACACACAAGCCTGGTCCCCCACATGTTGGGAGCCAGGCCTGCGCTTTACTTCCGTGGCTGCTTCCTTCTTTGGGGTTTTTCTCTTCTCAGAGTCAGACTTTGTGACTGTGGATTCATGGAGGGAAGGCTAGTGTGAATTCCAAAAAAAATGAATTATAGAATTTCCATTCAAAAGTCATTTTGTCGTTTTCAAGGAACTAATAATAATATGTGAATCCAAATGAAATATTAGCAGAGTTTTGCTCAAATAATAGGCTGTCTAGTGATTAAAGTAATTTGCAACCAGACTTTATTTCTCTTCCAAATCATACGGAGTTCTCGAAAGAGCTTGTACTTTCAATTAGCTTCAAGACTTCTCCTGCCCTCTCTTTTATGACGTTCATTTGCTTCGCTGAACCTCTGCTCATTGCTGTAATGGCAGGTGCCGAGGGCTGCCCTCACGTTAGGCCACAGCTCCTCCTTGCCTGTGCGGGTCTGTGGATGAATACACTATCTATCCCTGGTTGGTCTTGGACACAGCGACAACACTTTTCAGAAGTGCTGGGAGGAGGGGGAGTACACTGGAGAAAGAGCCAAAGGACCCAGGTTATCCCTGGGAATTGCAGGCCAAATACATAGAGGAGCACAGAAAAACAGGAAGAGTCTTCCTCTTTCTCTTCGAACAGGAAAGGAATAGCAGGAAGTGATTCACAAGAGTTGCCCAGGGCAAAAAGAGGTAGAAGGAAGAGCATCCACGCTACAGCTTGCCTGTCTCTGCTACAATCAGCTCTAACAGCATCTGTCCCTGTCCCTTCTCTTGATGGCCCTCACTGTTTGTAAGGAAGGCCCTGGGCCTGGTTCTAGGGCATTGAGGGGAACCGCGGCGTTCCCTGTTATACTTCCACACGCCAAATCTTATTGTGTTTTCTTATCCACAGCTGGAGAGACGGGGCGCCCTGCTTGTGGAATTTGAGGTTCCCCTCGTCACAGACCTGAAGCTGCCAGCCCAGCGGCAGAACGTGGTCTTAGAAGATGATGTCATTCAGTTCTTGCCATCCACGGAATGCTTGCTGTGACCTGGGGACACGGTGCTTGCCCCCTGGGAGCCAGACCAACAGCAGTATGGCCCTGGCACCATTCTCTTGGCCTCGGAGGCAAGAGACCCCCAGAGAGGTAAGGGAAACAGCTCCGACCTAGCGTCCCCAGGTGGAGCCAGGGTGGTAGGAGAGAGCAAAAAGTGTCTTAGAGGCAAGCTGAGGGTCATAGAGGTGTCAAAAACAAAACAAAACAAAACAAAAAAAAACCCTTACCCCCTCACTTGCAGCTTAATCCTGGATGTGGCAACAGATAGATGAATCATATCTTTCAGATTATATAATACCTTTCATCAGAGCAAAAATAGCCTGAAACTATTATGTCTATGTGGGTTAGCTAACCTATGGTGTGATGAGGTTAAACTGGGGCCACACCAGTACTCATGAGTGGTCCCGCATCAAGTTATCCACGGACTGGGAGAGTCCCCTTCTGCAGGGCCAGCAGTCAGCATCATTGCAATTCGAGAATGACAGGAGGCTTCTCCTCTTTCCCCATGAAAATCGAGCCCGGGGGGTGCATGCCAGTGCCCCGGGAAGTGGCAGTAAATAGGGAGCTGGTGAGGGAATGTTCCTGGCAGGCTCTCCACAGAGAGATGCCCTGGAGGAGGCCGGCGGAGCAGGGGGCTGCACTGAGGTTTGCTTTGGGGGCTAGGAGAACCCTTGTCCCATGATATAGAAGAGGTAATTGTAACAAAATGTTGCTCTTTCTGTTACATAGCATCAGAAGAAGGAGAAATTACTGTTCACTTCTGGAATAGCAAGACAGCTAGTGTGCCTAGAGGCAGGGTCAGGTGGGTGCCCCCTGCTGTCTGGAAGGCTGTGGGGAGGCTGCACAAGCCTTCAATCAAGGAGCACGCCGGCGCCCTCCTCTGGGTCCCTTGCTGCTCTCCGCTGGGACAGGCTGCTGGATGGGTCACCAATGGGCTTTCTCCGGGCACTCTGTTCCTGTGTCCTCCCTGCGTCCCCCAGGCCTGCTGCCAACTGCTGGGCCAGGGCTGCCTCTGCCCTTGCCCCTTGGCTGGACCTACCTGGTGGCCTCTAACCAGGGCCAAAAAACATCCAGAGGTAGAACTGAAGCCCACAGCACCACATTTGCCCCTAGAGGGTCCTAAAGAAGAGGAAGGAACGGTGCAACCTCCCCTGGGGGTTTCTTCTTCTTCCTCTTCCTCTTCTTCCGAAGAGGATTTGGAGAATGATCTGCAGGTTGGCCTCCCCCAGAGGCTGATGGTGGACAGCACAGTCAACACAGACCCCATCCTTCTTGAGAAGTCTCCGAGGAGGCAGGGTGGCCTCTGCCAGCCCGAGTGGAGGTATTGGAGGAGAAACGGGTCCGAGCCGCACCCTGGGAAGCCAGGTATACCTTCTTGTAAGGCAGGGCTGGGGGCCCTGCTCTCTTCCCTCCCATGTGTCTTGTAGGGATCTCATGCACGCATCCCCCATGCTGGGACTGGGTGTAACACTTAGGAGTGTGGCCATATTGAAGGGGAGGCTGTGATAAAAGGGAAATAGTAGGTTTCCATTTGAGCAATAAAACCCCATAAGAGGGGATGGGCTGATCTTCATGTGAAGGTTTGCATCCCTGTTTAACAACCCTCTTTTCCTTCTTCCCTAGTCTCTACTGACAGGGCGCTGCCTTTGTCTGTATTTGCCTGCCCCCCACCCCCTCCTTTTTCTCCGGGGGCCCTTGATTTTTCTCTAGATGAATAGTCAGAATGCCTTCAGGTGTCGATTAGAGTCTTCAATGGCCCGAGAGGCAGAGAAACTGGTCTTTAAACATTCATTGGTCATCAGGCCCTACTCTCCCCTGGTCCCCTTAGTAAATCAGAGTGGGAAGAAGCAGGGCACTGCATCATGCTGCTCATTCCTTAGAGAAGGGGAGGCAGTGCTGTTGATCAACAGCCATCCCCATCTTCACCTCGAGCTAAGAACCCCGTGACGCCCTCATAGGTTTAGAAGCCGTGTATCACTGACATGCCTCATGCCTGTCCTATCTAAATTCCCAGCAGGGCCTGGACAGAGCAGAAGCCCAAGTTCAGCGGGCAGAGGCAGCTGGGATAAGCCCAGCCCTAGACTAGATTCCTGGGGCCCTGGGGTCACTAACCGAACATAGAGTGAACTAAATGAACATTCAGTTTGGGGCAGGGAGGCTGTGTGGTTAAAGAGTACCACTGCTAAGGGCTTAAAGATCTCCAGACACCACCCACATTGGGACCCGCTGTGGGTCCCTGTTTGAAGCCACTGGCCTCTTTCCAGGACAGCTGCTCAGCTGAGGGACCTCTTAGCCACGAGGATTTCACTCTTGCCCCAGGGGTAAGAACTTTGTTGGTCTTCAGTTCCAGAAAATAGAGAAATTATTTCTACACCGAGAGACCGTCTTGGTGACTCCTGGACCCCTGGGCTTTGGCGGGGCATGGGGGTGGATGGGTGGGAACGGTATAAGTTGGCTGCTCTTGTACTTTATAGGTGTTCTAGACCTTCCTTGGCTTTCCAGGTGTGGGATTCTCCCCCTGCCCCACGGAGAGAACTGGAGGAACAAGAAGTCAGCTGTGTGCAGCTGAGCTCCTCCTCCCCTCTCAGAGAGGAGCCTTTGTATTGAAAATACCAAGCTGGGCAGGATCTTGGGCTTCTGGGAGATGGTCACGGATCTCATGGAGAGAGGCTGTGGGAGGTGCTGGCAGAAGCTACTAGGAAACAACTGTTCCTCTCAGATACACCTGCCCTACAGGTGATACTATCAAGAAAATGGTGCCCAAGCCTAGAGATTTCATGCTAAATTTGCCATAGTTTCCACTGCCTCCTGCTTCAGCAGACTGGAGAAAGAAAAGTGGTACCTACCCCACAGACAGGAGTCTGTAGGGAGTAACAGAGAAGCACCAGGCTCGGCCTCAGGGGGGGACGCCAGAGGGGTAACCAGAGGGGCCATGGTGCTCACACAGGTTTCAGGCACCAGCTCTGGGTTCCCAGTACTGTAGCTTGGCTCCCCAGCATTCCATCTGGACTGGTTTCAAACCTGGTTAAGTCCACACCTCTTTTCCCTAAGCACACACTGCTCGTCTCCCTCCACTGCCCAGCCACCCAATTCAGTCTCTCTTCCCACCACCACATTTCAACAGATCCACTCTAAAGTTTTGTTTCCCCCCCACCCCGCCAAAAATTCTAGTAATTGTCCATAAAGAAGATAAATATGGTACCTTCAGGTACTTGGTCTGGTTTTCCCTTAGGTACTACTAAGATCATTTGTCATGCTCCAGGCAAAGGTTAATTCTTAGAGCTGAACCATGAGGATCCCTGGACCTACCCTCTGCCAGGTCCCAAGCCTGTGCGCAAAGCTATGGAGAATACACTTGTGTCAGAGTGTGGGGAAAGGGGCCATCCCTGGCCCTTGTCGGGGGCAGGGAGGCGTTGTGTGCCACAAGTGACTAGTGAGGATGAAGTGCAGAACACCGGGTGTGCACCAGCACCGGAAACAATGGCAAACACCAGAACTTTCTTTTTCTCCCCCTCCAGATTTTGTCGCTTTTAGGGAAACATGCTGCTTTGTTTCTAATTGTGCTTGAGGGCCTTCAGTCACGTTCTGATGCCTGATGGTCAGCCTTAGGCTCTGCCTCTCGATAATCCTCTTGTGTGGGTCCCTCTGCCCTCCATGCTTCTTGTTACTTCCCAAGTTCCCGTTTGATCCCAACCTACCAATTCTACGAAGGCCAGGTTGCTGGCTGCCTGCAGTTCCTTTGCTCTCCTCCCGAGCTTATGACTGAAACAGGATTTAATCTGTAGTTTTAAAAGCCTGCAAGAGGATGGATTCCTGTAAAGTAGTCCTTCCTTTTCAGATTCTTTTCCTACTCCCCAGGGAGTCACATCTCCCATTATTTTATTTTTGCCTCACACCCAACCTCTTAAAACCTCGGCGCCCCCCACCCCCCCAGCTCACTACCTCTTCTTTGTGATCAGTGTGATTTATAAGCTCCTTTGACAGATGGCAGTTGGCCACCTTTGCTTCCCCTACTGGCTGTTCTGAAAGTTGTGTCTGATACCTTCTCCCATCTAATTCCAAATGTGGTTATCAGATAAAACCTATCCAAAAAGTGTAATGGCCAGAAATGACTAACAAACTTTCTCTTTAAAAAAAGAGAGAAGGGTGCCTGGGTGGCTCAGTTGGTTAAGCGACTGCCTTTGGCTCAGGTCATGATGCTGGAGTCCCGGGATCGAGTCCCACATCAGGCTCCCTGCTCAGCGGGGAGTCTGCTTCTCCCTCTGACTCTCCTCCCTCTCGTGCTCTCTGTCTCTCATTCTCTCTCTCTCAAATAAGTAAATAAAATCTTTGAAAAATAAAAAAATTAAAAAAGAGAGCAGTGGTAGGAACTTCAGTCCTACCGCTCCACTTCAGTCATCAGGACCAATCCCATGGTGGCACATGCAACGTAACTCACTGAATTTGGGGTTTAGGAACAAGACATGGAACCATCTGGAGAGAAAAGAGGGGCAACAAACAACAAAGGGTACAGAGTAGTGCTGGGGAACACGAAGGAGCTGGTCCTGGAAGCAAGCGGCGTGAAGCCACCACAGATCCTGCCAGAGGACGGTGAACACAGAGAATGGAGTTCGGGAACAGCGACCCACCAGAGGGACCAAAATGCCCTCAGACTGAAAGCCCCGAGGAGCCAGGTAAAGCAGGATGGCTGGGAAGGGGCTCCTAAGGACTCCTCATGTGGTTCTTCATGCCCCCCCCTTTTTTTAAAGATTTTATTTATTTATTTGAGAGAGAATGAGAGAGAGAGAGAGAGAGAGTGCACATGAGAGGGGGGAGGGTCAGAGGGAGAAGCAGACTCCCTGCCGAGCAGGGAGCCCGATGCGGGATTCGATCCCGGGACTCCAGGATCATGACCTGAGCCGAAGGCAGTCGCTTAACCAACTGAGCCACCCAGACGCCTCTTCATGCCCCTTTTGAGATTGAGAACTCCCATGCTGTCTTTTCCCAGGAAAATGCACATACCTACGATTTTGCATTCCATTTCAGAAGGCTTACAGAACCCACAAAGCTGATCACAGGCTTCTTATGGAAGCAAGGATCCCATTTAAGTGACACTCTTGACCCTACGGTGATGGGCATGGGTCTGACTAGGCCCTCTGTCCGTGGGAGTCCGTTCCTCACTAGGAACGCTAACACAGCCCTACTTAAAACTTGGCTCTCATCATATAAAACGCTGGCGTTTGTCCTGAGGAAAGACTTGTCACGTTCAGAATGAGATGAACTACCAGGCAACCAAACTGGCCAAAGGCAGCTCCGCTGTTGGCCCAGTAGCTTCAAGGAGTTCAGGGCACATCACGACTTTTTAAGATCAATGAATTCTGATACTTAAAATTAGAGTCAGCATCAGACTCTCGGGATTTTTTTTTTTCTTATAGAAAGCTAAAAGAGCAGTGGTGGTAACTACCTGAGGAGGCACTACCAAGTGGCTGCCAAGTTGTCCTGTGATGGCCGGGGACAGAGCGCAGGCCACACGTGTTGGGCACACAAGCAGTGGCATCCTCACGCACTAGACTTGCCTGCAGATGAGCGTCGTGAAGGCACCTGCCCTGAGGGGCACAGGAGCCCGGTGGTCCCAGCCAGGACTCCCTGCTGGGGGCGGGGGGGCTCCAGGCAAACACATCCACAGCCTGTTGCCTTCTCATAAACCTACAGCTGTCCATGAGCAACACTGTTTCACCTCTTCGTGCCCCAATAAAAAGGAACTCATTTCCAAAATCGCTCCCTTTATTATCATAAGTAACCTTCACCTGGAAAGTAAGCAGTTAAAAACTACTGAGACAGCATCATTACAGTATGACTTTCAGCAGAAAGTGGGGGTGGGGGGGCTTCTAGACGTTTAAGTTAAAATAGGCACTGAAAGAGACAAACTCCAATTCCCAGGAAGGCTGACCCTCTACAGTCAGCCCTGAAAGTAGGATCACTGGGTAAATATGAAAAGAATAATATGGTGACTTTATTCTTCTAGCTACTTAAAAAAAAGGTGATGGGATAGCTATGATGGTCCACGTCATACGGGGAAGACCAAGTCCACACTTTGTCCCGAGTCGACTGCTACCACCTGAGTCTTGGTTAAGTCATTTGTACCCACAGTGACAGAATAGGTCCCTGGATATACTTCTATGTAGAGGTCCTTAGAGGTGTTCTCAGCCTGCAAGGAAAAACAGGTATTAGCCCTTGAGAGACTGTAGGTCACGACGCCAGCAGGCCACCTCTGGGTGCCAGGGGTGCAGTGGGATGAAGCACTGGGCTGGAGACGGAGGTCCTGCTTTCAAGGCTCAGCCTGGCCAGACAATAGGAATGTCATTAGGTAAGTCTCAGCCCCTCCTTGTGCTTGTTTCCTTATTTCTAAAGCTGTGGTAATACCTACTTCACAAATAAGCATGTATGTGAAAACACTTGGCAAGTGCTAGAATGCTATACGAACATGAAGCATCATAAAAGGGACACTCCTAATCGTGGTAGAAAGAGAGGCACTTGGTAGAGGGCAAGGCGAATGATCATTGTTTGGGGGCTCGCAAGCAGATAGTGGCACCTGTTAGCGCGGACCAGCAGTAGCGACAAGGCGCCATGGAATAATGAGTCTTTTCAACTGTGCTTTGTTTGCTATATTCATGATGAAGATGAAATATTCTTTTCTTCAAAAGCTGAGCACACTATGAATAGATTCCATTTCGTCATGCAGCAAGTCTGCGGGCTGGCCAGAGCCTCCCTTGGAGGATTGGTTCTCCTATAATACAAAACACTGGAAGCTGGAGTTAACGGAAAGATCTGTGTTTAAAGCTGTGCTGAGCACTGACTGTCTTCCAAGGACAGACTTGACACATGGCTGGGAAGTGGGTGGAACTGCAGGCAGAGGAGGGGTCTCCGTTCAAATGGCAGACAGAGAAGTTGCAAACCAGAAAAGAGCCTGTAATTAAGAGCCAAAGCTGCTACCCCACAGCTGGGGACCCGCCGCCCCTCCCACGTGCTTCCTCCATGCTTGCTCCTCCAGGCAGCAGGTGTCATCTCTGCCACTACACCCGGGGGACAACAACAAATTACTGGCCAGCAAACTTCACCGGGAGGAATAAATGGTAATGTTTACACTTTTATGAACTTCCTGCCTTCCACCTTGCACAGATTTAAAGCCAACTTTTTCCAAAGCTGCTTTATGTTCTATCCTTTCATGCCCAGTTATTGCAAATTTGTTCTTATCATTTAACTGACATGAATGTAAATGACTACGCCAAAACTATTTATTGGTCTTCAACTACGTAAGTACACAAAGGTAGATTTCAGAAAATACAGCCATATCAGAATTGCAGAAAGCCAAGGATACTTCATTTGTCTGCATAAGAGGAAACACGGGGGATAAGATTGGCATCTGTGATTCCAATACCATGAATATCAGGAAGATTAGCATCACCAAAATCCAGCAAGTATGGGAGGCATCTTGACCTAACTTATGTACCAGAAGCAGAACATTCTTAGTTGTTATTAACTCCAGTATATTCTGGGTCCTGGCTAGTAGTGCACTGTATACAAACAAAGATTAAGCCAACTATTGCAGAAACATGCTGGAGTTCCTTTCCTCCGAATTCCAGCCCTTCCAAGTTCCCAAAAATTCCCTGGGTTCATGAACTAATGAGTACTTCTTTATCTTAAATGAAAAAAAACCTCATCACTGTGTTTTTAACGGAGAAACATTTGTGGAAAATGAGGACAAATCCCTTCAAATGTTCTGGAACTCGATCTAACCAAATTTACATGTTTCTGAATTTCAGCAATGGTTTTCACTTTGTAAGCAGGAGGGTCAGGCCCCTCCTGCTGCTTGAACAGATGGTGAAATTCCAGCAGAACCCAGTGTCAGCCCAGCTGAGCTGTAGGAACTGCGATGTGAATACTTCACATTCTTTCCAACCACAACTATGAGTTCAGGCACAAAAAGTATCCCTTAAGCTTCAAGTGAAGGAAGGATATGAGAAAACATAATTTTACACTGAATCCAAATGCTGTACTCTCTCAAGAGTGAAATATCTCAACTTAAAAATACCGTGGATCTGGGACAAAGGACCCTAGAACTGGCTCAACTGGTTCATGGAATGGCACTGGTGGTGAAACGCAGAATGAGATCTGTACTCACAGGCTGGGAGGCTGCTGACACGTGAGAGATAACTCCAAGACCAACGGAGGTGCCTTTTCTCTGAAGAGACAAGAAGAAACACTGATTAGCGCCCAGACTTTGACTTCTGGATTATAAAGAAAAACTTTCCCTTAGTTTATTAGGAACTAATAATTGTTCTGTCGGTTTCTTCTAAGGTGTCTCCTAAGTTGTTAAGGCTTTTAGTGAATTCTGTGAGGTATTTGTAGTCAGAGGTTTACCGTGATGACTTTTTATATTTCCATGGGCTTTGGAGTCAGACAGACCTGAATTTGAATCCTATCTCTTGCTTTACTGAAAAGGGCAAATTAAGTTCTCTAGGCCTTAGTTTCCCAGTCTACAACATGGTGATACGAGATTGGAGATTTAAAGTTCAAGAGTGACTGACACTCAACAGGCTCTCAGAAAACAGAATTCTCTTCTGTGCTTCTCCCAGGAGTCCAGGTACTAGCGGGGAAAAGCAGAATTCCCTTTAGAGACACCAACTTACGTTTTATAGGAAGGAATGGGAGGGACAGGAATGACTCTTACCCACATGTAACCCCCCTGGGGTCAGGCCAGAAAAGGGAACCCAGGCTTCGGGCTCTGGCGTTGCTCCATACATCCCAGGCCAGGAAAACAGGAGGGACCTTCCAGTGTGCACCCAGCCCTCATTCACATCCCTGGGGCCACTCTCCCATCCTTTCCCTAGACCCATAGGCCGGAGAAGTCAGGAATCCAACTTGTGGATTAGACTCTGAACTTAAGTTTGCTATCTTTGAGTATAACTAGGGGGCGTTTAAAAAGGGAAAAACAAAACAAAATAACATGCCTACTCTCTTCAAAAACAACAATGAATTCCTAGTGCATCAGTTCAACAAGTAAAATCTTGGGCTTCCCCAGAACAGGTGGTAAAAGACAGATAAGTTTGTAGGGAGAGGCCTGTAATTGCCTGTTACTAATACTAACAGTTTATTTCCTAATGCTCTAGGAAAAGAATTCTTTTAAAAGAGAGGGAGGGGAGCTGAGGGCACAGCGCGGACAGCTGAGGATACATACCTGGCCGTCCCCACTGTCCCAGCACCGGTGCAGCCCCGACTTCCCTCTGTGATACCGAGAGACGTGGACTGCCCCTCCTTCCTCCAGCACAGATGAATAGTATCTCTACAGAAGGAACGGGAAAGATGCTGGGCAAGCAAATAGTCTGGTCAAATTTTCAAAAAAAACCAAAAAAACAAAAAAACTCCATGACTTAGGGAAAGTATGGTTAAGGAGGGAGGCAACAGAGCAAAGGTGAATTACCTGCTCTTTTGACAGGCCTCTAAAGTCATCCAACAAATCTGAGCCCATGAAAAGCGGCTGCAGAGAGGGAACTGCGTTTGGCACGACTTTGCTGCCATCTGCGGCCTTTGTAGGGCAAGAAGTCTGGCCAACCACAGCTGGGCAGGACCAGGCTCTCTGCCAGGTTAAAGAATTTTCACAACGTCTTCATCCCAATGTCAAATACATATGCCCTTCCATCTCCTCTCATCACAAGTTCTGATGAACTGTTCCATGGTTACTGTCCAAGTTTCAGACAAGGACGAGGGAAGAGGGGTGCATCTCCTTGAGATTTAGAAATACAACAGGAAATGTAACAAAAACTCAAGAGCTAGGCAACCGATCTCCCCATGCGGAGGGGAGGAAGAGGTCTCTAAGGAGAATAATCCAAAGGATCAGAAAGCAAATTACATTTTTTCTTGTCTACTTCCTTCCTCCCCCTCGAAGTTAACCTTAGACTTGCCCCTGATTATGACTAATGACGAGGACATCACAAGTCTGCTTGTTTTGAACATAGTGTACGGACAGTGTTTAAGGCATGAGACCAAAAAAACGGGAAGCTGGGGAAAGCACTTCAGGACATAGGTTTAATAATGTATTTTGGGGGCTGCTTCAAAATTGTAAAGGCAGACTCAGTACACTGTTCTTAATTCTATCTCCAGAAAGCCCAAGGGTTCTGAGACTCCATTCCAGAGTGGAAACTTGAACTGAAGTATGGACTGAATATCAAAATGAAGAACACACCAATTTGCTAAATCTCAGACCAAAGACTACTGTTATTCCTTTTAGTGAACCATGAACCAAAATGTTTCAGTTGTTCTCTTCACAGAAGAGCTGAAGTTAAGGATTTTTCTAAAACCATTTAACAGAATAACATAAAAATATTCTCTGGACCATATCTCATTGATTGGAATCCTGTTCTCGGAGTCATAGGTATTTTACAAAAGATGTAGAGAGATTAGAGATTTTTTGAAATCTTAATATATGAAATTGAAAAGCAGGACAGAAACAAGGTATTCTCTTCCTTCTCCTTTGTAGACCAGCATCCTTATAACCACAAAAGAATCACATCATGTTGAGGCTCAAAGAGACCACAGAGTCTGCTATAACTCCTAGACAACACAGTACCTTCCATGCAGGGGATTTCCCTGGATGCAGGCTGGCCTGCCTTCACCATTCCCTCAAAGTACTTAAAGATGACCTTAGCATGTGGTTTTGAGAAGGGCTTTAAAACCTTTGTACACCCATTTCAATGAATGGTACCCAAAATTTCACGTAAGTCTCTCGTGCTATAGTTTATGACAATTTTCTGGTATTCATCTCTCAGTGGAAACCAAAGAAACAGACTCTAAAGGCTGGAAAGCACTTTAGAGATCTTCATTTTATGACAGGGAAGCTAGGCTGAGTGGGACTAACTGGCCCAGTGCATTATAACCAGTAAGTGGCAGAACATGGGTCTGGTTCCTGGGAGGCTACTCCTGCCATTAAGTCACACCGCCACTGGGGGGGCACTGCATCTGTTCCACATAACCACCTTGGTGGCCAACAAGTGATACGGACTCATTGAGACATACTTAAAAATTGCATTACCGGGGACTTGAAACAGAGGTTAAATTCTAGTGTAGGGATATTGTTTCAGTACATTCTGAAACCCAGAAATGCTCAGTTCCAGTTTAGAGCAAGCTTACTGATGTTTTTTAACTTGAGTTCAGTTCAAAGTTTAAAAAAATCCCTAATATCTGGACTTGATTGTTTTGGAATTCAGCATTAACCTCCCCCCCCCCCCACTAATCTGAAAACAATAGGGAGGACAGAAACCTTTTGTGGCTTGTTCCCTGCTACATCCTCAATAATACCTACAGAGTTATACGTTCAATAAGTATCTGTTGAATAAATTCTAACTTGGATTTATCACCTGGTTTAAATCCCTGTTTACAATCTAACCATGAAGGTGGGGCAGGGTAAACGGGTAGTCTCCAGATTCTCCTCAAATTCCACAAAGATCCACTTTGTGGTCCATCTGCAGGTGGATGGGGGCATGCTTTGGCTTACACCAACTTACCCCGCACTGACTTGAAGTATAGTCCATGAATTCTGCCATTGTTCTGAAGGAAGCACTTAGGGTTGGTTGTCTTTCTTCTCTCTATTTGAATAAATGGCAAATCACAGGTGAGATCTGGTAGTTCCTACTGGAGAATGAGGTCAATTTGGAAATAGCATCTTTTTTACTTTTTGAAAAGCCTCTGCAAGTTTAAGTAAACAAGAAGGATCTTACTGAGGAAGAATTCCACTCTAAAAAGGAATAAACAGACACGCAATTTATCCAGGACAAAGAAAGATGGTAGCATGTAAGAAAGTAACCAACCAGGGCCGAGCACTAGCGGTACTGTAAACTACCCAGTAAGAATCTGTCAAATGTCAAGAATTTTCAAAGGACTTTTCTGTTCACTGTCCCGTTACTTTACAGCTTCCGCCAAGAGCTGGATCAGGTGCGTGGGCTCGGCGTGCCCCGGTTGCCAGCAGGCCACCGCGGAGCGAATGAATGGGCTGGTCCCCCAGCACTGGAGCCCTCACCTCTCCCGGGAGCAGGCGCTGGGGGCCAGCTGCGGGCCGTCTTTCTCGGTAGGGCCGCTCCCGTGAAGTGACCCCCACGCCGCTTTTGGGAAGTTCCCGCGAATGCCAGTCCACCGCCCTCCTCTTGGCCCGCTCCAGCACTTCTTGACCCAGCCTAGCCGTGCGCTGCAGGGCACGTCGGTCCACCCCGTTCAGCGCCGCGGCCGCCAGACAGTTCTCCATGTCTCCCTGCGCAGGCACATACACACAAACACCGGCCGGTCAGCGGGCCGCCACGACCCTGCTCCAGCTGCGGGTCGGAGCCCTAGCCTCGACCTCCCTGGCGACCACCGCCCCGGGCTCTGCCCTTTACGCGCTCTCCAGCCGGCGCCCGGCCGGAGGCGAGCGGGTGCGCGCAGATCCCCTCCATTTCCGTCTCCCCCTTCCCTCAGTGGGGGGCCCTCACCAGCCCGCTTCGTTAGGCGCATGCGCTCAGCGTTGTGTGGGAGAGTGGGCCTGTAGCACCCAGCGCCGGCCTAGCAGGCCATTGGCGAGGGGCGGGGCCTGTGGCCTGCGTCGGTCACGCCTTCTTTCTGCGCCGGGCCGCGGCCCCTACGCGCCGGTTGCCGGGCTAACTGTCGGGCGCAGGGGCGGGGCCTGGTGGCGTGCGGGGCGCGGGGGCCAGAGTCTAGCCGGCGGCGGGGGCGGCGACCTGTCTGCTCCTTCCGAAGAGCCCCTGGGCTGTGGGCATCGCCCTTCGCGGTGGTCTCCAACGCCAAACACTGTGAAGCCGGTGTAAAGTCAGGTGGTCTCCGGTTGGCCTAAGAAATTGTGGGGGATTAGACACCTGCCTCCAGGCGACTCTTGCTGCCTGGTTTATATCTTGGAATATCGCTATTGTAAAAATCCCTTTTGTTTGAGGAGATGAGTAGGAGAGGTCACACAGTGCAGCTGCCAAGGTGGCGCTTGGAGAAGAGTTTGGCCAGGCGGCTGTGGGCAGTGGGACGCCCTCCGCCAGATGGCAGCTGTTCAGGGTCTGAGGGGTGCCTGAGTTGTATGTAGAGCCCCATTATCCTCTCATGGCATCTTCCTCACTCCAGTGGGAAGGACGGACTCACACATTTTTGGAAGCCTCTTCTAGGGGGGTGGAGTTGAACCTACCTTTCAAGAATAGTTGCACCACATCGTCTTGCACTTCACTCCTACACACCTCTGGGTTATCTGATAGACCCTATAGCTCAAGGTCTCGCTGCTAATTAATGACTTTGCTACCCCACACTGCGCACAGCAAAGCGTTGATGTTCAGGAAGAACCCTTTTTAAGGGATACTGCTCAGTGGGGGTCACTTTAAGGGACGCTAGGAAATCTTCAACGCTGAGCGAGTCTCCTCAGCAGATGGCTTGATCAGCAGTTCCGGGCTACCCCAGGATACTACTGCGACCTCCGTCGGCATTGTTGCTCATTTCCTGCTCTCCTCTCACGGAAAGAAATTGAGTAAAAGTCTTCATTATCATGGGGATATTTTTTTTTAAAGATTTTATTTATTTATTTGACAGAGAGAGACACAGAGAAAAAAAGGGAACACAAGCAGTGGGAATGGGAGAGGGAGAAGCTGACTCCCCGTGGAGCAGGGAGCCCGATGCGGGGCTCGATCCTGGGATCATGACCTGAGCCGAAGGCAGACGCTTAACGACAACCACCCAGGTGCCCCATGAGGATATTTTTCATAAAACTTTTCCTTCAGTAATGTTTATCAAACGCCTCCTTCAGAACATAGTGGTTAGGCGCACAGGGTCCCGAATATCTAGTCTGGCGATCTGGGTTTGAGTTCAGACTCTGCCACTTTTTTTGCTGTGTGATTGTGGGCGAACAACTTACTTAACTTCTTCGAACCTCACTTTTCCTCTTCTCGATACTCAGGGATACCAAGAGTACCAATCTCCTGGACTGTGAGCTTCTTGAGAGTGAGGGCCATATCTGTTTTGTTTACTGAGTTTAAGGTGCAGCTATTATTTCATCTGTCACAGAAGGGCCTGAAAATAGCTATTGAATGCAGTGAATTAGGAATTGGGTTGCTGTAAGCATTTTGTGAGAGTTCCTTGAAAATGCTTAACACAATGCTTTGCAAAGAGTAAGTGCTCCACAGATTTAGCTAGCATTATAATGCTCCAAGCACCATCCTAGGACTTATGGAGAATAGAAAGTGAATCAGGCTAAAGCAGAATAAAAAAGAGAGAATGATGCACATAAAATCTGTAATGCTAGGAACCAAATATTAAGATTTTGTTCATAAGCTGTTGCTATAAGATTGATACAAAGTATTATGAAGCTTAGAGGAGAAAGAGATATCGTTCAGTTGGGGAGATCAAGAAAGGCTTTTTAGAGAAGGAGGCATTTGAGCAAAGTCTGGAAGTATGGCCCAGGAACTAATAAGAGAAGAGATATTTTAAATACCTGTTAACTGCTTTTATAATGAATGTGGTTGGGGGTGAGACAGAGTTTGTTTTTCTAATTTATGTATTTCAAAATCCTGGCTCCATAACTTAGCTGAATCTGTGTAACTCTGAACAGATTATATAACCATTCTCTATCTCAGTTTTGTCATCTTTAAAATGGAATAATAATAGTATATCCTAAGGTTGTGAGGATCAAATTAATACAAATAAAGTGCTTTGAATAGTGCTTGGCACATAGTAAATGCTCAATAAATATTAGCTAATATTATTATCTTAATCAGACTTCAGCCTTGTCTCCCAATATGTCCTCCCTTACCTGATACTATGTCATTACCTCATGTCACCTGGCTCTCTTCCCCAGGATTCTATTACTACCTCCCATCCCCAATTCCATTCCAGCTGAAGCATTACTTTCTTTTTGTCAAGTCAACTTTTTGAAATGTTCTGCTATTTCCAGGTGCAACCTCTGTTTCCATGACTTTTTTTTTTTTTAATTTTGAGGTACTTATCTCAATCTGATTTAAATTATATGTAGTTATGGTTCATTTCCCCCCAACAGTTTATGAACTCCTTGAAGGTGGAAATTGTTCCTAATTTGTCCCTAAATATCCAGGGCTTGTTAAGCAGTATGTGTTCAATAGGCATTTGTTGAATTTACTGACTTAATTTTTTATTTAAATAGATCCCTGTTAGGCCAGATAAGAGTTGGCTTCTTAAAAAAAGATCTACCTACATACTTTAATGAATATAATGAATATTCAGTTATAACTAATTTTCCCAGAATTTAACATTTAGAAATATATGGGAAAGAAGATGCTTAGAATGAAACTAAAGCCTAAAGACTGACATGAAATTAAGTCTTTGCATTTATTTTTGTATTTATAAATATATTTATACATATCTTTTTTTTGTAATTTCAAGATTTGAACCTTAAACCACAAAGTGAGAGAATCCTTTTTCTCTTTTTTAAGATTCGATAGGAATGATGATGAAACATGACCTACCATCAGGCCCTTTGTGGATCAAACACGGCCCAAGCCAGGTGCTTCTTTAAATGGTTTTTGTTTTGTTTTTTAGAGTGAGAGAGAGAGAGTAAGACTGGGGAGGGGCAGAGGAAGAAGGAGAGAGAATCTTAAGCAGGCTCTGCACTAAGCGTGGAACCCAACATGGGGCTCCATCTCACAACCCTGAGATCATGACCTGATCTCAGAGTCCAATGCTTAACCGACTGAACTACCCAGGCATCCCAAGCCAGGTACTTCTTAAAGAGACTTGGAAATGGAACAGCAAATAGAGGGAGGGCATAGGATCAGGAATGAATTTGATCATCAGTGGAAAAACAAACTGTTGGTGTAAGTCTTCCATGATTTCTCTCTTCACGAGGGTACATACATTACAGAGAACACACAGATGTTGTCTAAGTTATATTTTGGGGGAATAGGTGGGTTGGAGGACATCTTTATTCCTGAAATCTGAGGAAAGAGATTGGTGCTGTGTTTGGGACTTCTTGAGGAGAAAAAAAGTTTAGTGAAGAGCAAATGTAAATTATGTTTCTCCACATGAAGAGGGCAAGAAAGGGTTAAAAACTTATGATGTAAAAGTGGGTATCATGCCAGAGTTAGACAATGATTTATACTGTACATACCAGAGAATGTATAAATCATTTTATTTGACAGGTGGTATTTTTATTTTTTCAGCAGACTTAGGAAGCTTTAGAATCATTACAGCTTTGTAAAGTAGTATTATAGACTGAGTCATTAGATCATTCATTTTGCCTGATTACATCAACTCATTGGGTTTTTGGGGAGTGAAAGAAACTCATTATCAAAATTGTCATCTTGATTATATAGATTAAAGAAAATGGATCAAAGTTCTGAGAATTAGGTTTCACAACCTGTTAAAAAATTGGAAGTTAAAAATTGCAGAGCAGGAATGATTAGGGAAAAGTTTTGTCATTTGAAAAACTATCAGAGATTAAAGGAATGGTAATTTTGGTAGATATAAATAGTTGGAATCCAGGTGGAGTTTTAAAAAATGACTTTATTGAATTGAAGTATGATTTACTGTTACATTATATTCACCTGTTTTAAAGGGTATAATTCAATAAATTTTAATAAGTTTATAGAATTTTGCAAACATCACCACAATCCGGTTTTGGAACATTTTCATTAACTGAAAAAGATCCCTGTGCTTACCATATGCAGTTAGTCTCATCTCCTACCTCTAGACCCAGGCAACCAGTATTCTGCTTGCTGTTTCTATAAATTTGCCTTTTCTAGGCAGTGTGGATAAATGAATCATACAGTATGTGACCTTTTTTGTCTGGCTTTCACTTAGCATAATGTTTTTCAGGCTCATCCATGTTGTAGCAAGTATCAGTAATTCACTCCTGTGTAGGATTGAATAATATTCCATTATATGAATATGCTACATTTTGTTTATCCATTCACTAGTTAATAGCCATTTTACTTGTTTCCACTTAGGGACTATTATGAGTAATGCTGCGATGAAAGATTGGGTACAAGGGTTTGTTTGGATACAGGTTTTCATTTCTTTTGGGGAGAGACTTAGGAGTGGCATTGCTGAGTGGAATGGTAAATTTATGTTTAATATTTTAAGAAACTGCCAAACTCTTTTCTTTCTCTCTTTTTTTAAGATTTTATTTGACAGAGAGAGAGAGATAGCGAGAGCAGGAACACACGCAGCGGGAGTGGGAGAGGGAGAAGCAGGCTTCCCGCCGAGCAGGGAGCCTGATGTGGGACTTGATCCCAGGACACTGGGATCATGACCTGAGCCGAAGAGACACTTAACGACTGAGTCACTCAGGCGCCCTGGCAAACTCTTTTCCAAAGTGGCCGTACCATTTTACATTTCCATAAGTGAGGTACAAAGGTTCCAGTTTTTCCACATCCTCCTCAATACTTGTTGATTGTTTATCATTTGATTATAGTCATTCTAGTGGGTATAAAGTACTATCTCATTGTGATTTTAATTTGCATTTCCTTAATGACTATTAATATTGAGCACGTTTTCT